ATGTAGCTTTGACACCCAATGTTGGTCTTGGCAATACTGGCGACCAAGTTACCGCTGACACCAAAATCACAAATCTTGATTGCACCCTTGGTATTCATGAGGATGTTGGTAGGTTTCACGTCTCGGTGAATGATGTTGTGCTCATCCTTCAGTGACTTGAGACCCATAGTCGTGGCCATGGTGATCTTGCGCAAGACACCCTCCGGCACACCATCGGCGTAAAGCTTGTCTATGGAACCTCCGTCCATAAACTCCATGCATATGTATACGGCGCCTTCTTGGAAAAAAGCACCATAGAAATCGACGATGAAGGGCGATATACAGCGATGAAGGACGTCGAGTTCCATGATGATAGCAGCGAACTTTGAGTCATCCAGCTCCAGCCTGACTTCTTTCATTGCCATGACTATGCCGGTACCCGCAGCAGGCTTTGCACTGGTTGGACTCGCTTCTTCGTCGAAATTCTTTCGCGATGGCGAACCTGGGGCAGCCTTGTTACCTGCCAGACCCTGTCCTGGTTTCCTCATTCGCGGTCTGCTATGTCTGACCTTGTACACTGTGCCATAGTTTCCCTTGCCGAGCTCGTCTAGTGTGTCAACCTCGTCTAGGGAAATGTTGAAGGAGGAACCGCTAGCGAATTGCACGCCGTCCGAGTTGAGTGTGGCCTTGCCGGCAAACTTTAGGCTGCCAGTCTTCGTATCGACGAATTGTGAAAATTTATCGAAGTGGGTTTCTTGTTTCTTCGGCTCCTCACCTTCTTCGGCGGGCTTGTCTCCGTTCATCTGCGAGAGGGTCAATCCGGGCTTCTTCCTGCCAGCAGGAGGAGCGGATCCGCCAGCAGTTGGAGATGAGCCTGGTAGTCCGCCCGGTAATCCGCCTTGAAACCTCATGCCGCGCTTCTCAGCAAGGGAGGGCTTGGGGCCACCTGCGCGACCAGGAACTGCAGGCGCCGACTGAAAGTTAGTCGCTGGCGGCCTAGCGGGCATTCGAAAGTTGCCGGGTATACCTCCCGGGTTACCACCTGGGGACAAGGGATTGCGGTTGTCGGGAGACGGACCAGGGCTTTGCGGCGCAGGCCCTCTTCCAGGCAAACCCGTTGGTGGAGCGCCCTTCCGCCCGAGATGTACTGCCTGTATTCTTGCGAGGATGTCTTGGGAGACATTCAGCCCGCTGCCTCTGCTTGAGATGGTAGGGGGATTTGAGGGGCGGGGATTCCTAGCAGCATTGATGTTTCCCAGTGGTGTTGAGGAGGATGTCATGTTGGCTGTCGCGCCTGATGTTGTGGATGCAGTTCGGGGAGGGGGGCGTTCAGCGGACAGCAGGTCGGGCGAAGGGGCATTTTCGGTAGGACTCGAGGGTGCGGGTGAGGGCGAGGGACTGTCGAAGACGGAGTCGGAATCGACCTCAGCGTCCGGCGTGGACGGATAGGAGGCCATGGCGAGAGAGTGGGAAAAGTCGCGGCCTAAGATTGGCGGGGTACTGAGTCGAGGAAAGGGGAAAAGAGAGTGGAGGAGATAGTAATAAGAGGGTGTACGGAGAGGACGAGTATCAACGCTGCGACTACACCGCGTAGGGAGATATGGCGGCGATCTCAGCGGGTCTGGTAGTATGGGTGGAGGTGTGATGGTTGTGGGTTGTAGCGTGGAAGTTGGAGCTGTGACGTGATGCTGCAGAGACGAATAATAGCGCGCGTCTGCAATCTTGAATGATTTCACAATGATCGGCCAGGCCGCACCACAATCATGGCGTAGACGGAGATGGATGGCCGAACGGGGTTCACAGGGGATTGAGCAGTTCCTGCTTTGCGCATCTAAGCTGCACCGGTAAGCCTGCTTTGCAGCGTCGGAATGCGCAGATGCGGCCAAGCAGCATCTGGGCACCCTGAACCGAGACACGACAGCAGGCTTCCGAGAGCAGAAGCAGTATGCGGTAATGACCAAGCCATGGGCAACCTAGTGGCAGACCCGCCTATTGATATGCGTTGCCCATCAGTCAAGACAGCCATTTGCAATGGCCGATGTGGCCGCCAATTCTCGATGTGCTCCATGTCGCTGCAGCCCGCCCAGTCCGCCGACGATGAATACCACAGGCGATGAATACCATCGAGGCGCTGAGTGACGATAGCCGCCCGACCCATACCTGAGTCTTTCAATCGTTTTGCAACTTTCAGCTCTAGGCTTGTACGATCCGGACCGGTTCACGTCCATCCCCTATCACAGTTCCTGCATGGCTCGCGGCTTAACCTGCCCTTCCGCCAGACCTGGCGCGGGCTGTGACGTCGATCTCCGCCCATAGCGCGTTCTCGGCCAAGACGCCTTGCGCCTCAAGATAACTCCAGTGTTTCCATCTCCATCGCGCCTTTGCGCCTTCCCGACAACACCACCGACATCTGATATGCCCTTCTTCTCGGCTCCCCAGGCCTTTCGCCTGCGCAGCCTCCAAACTTCATCCTCGGAATTTGTTGCCATGGCCTCCAACTCCTACGAGTACGGCAACAATGGCCTATTCACCGTCTTCAAAAGCGGCAAGCACAGCTCACACCCCGATTTCGCCAACCTCACCCTTCTCGTCTTCGAGGCTGTCATGGAAGTTGTCTGCGTTAGCGCGCCCGGCTACATTGTCGCGCGAATGGGCCAATTCGACGCAGAGAGCCAGAAGTTTCTCGCCAACCTCAACACGCAGCTGTTTACACCTTGTCTTAGTACGTGGAACGCTCGGATAAAAGGCGTGAACTGTTCCTGACCTCAGACCAGTCTTTACCAAGCTGGCATCACAATTGACGGCCGAGAAGCTGGCTGATCTTGCCGTTATCCCTGTAATCTTCGTCGTACAAACACTCATCTCCTACATGGCCGCGCTTCTCGTGTCGCGGATATGCAGGTTCAACAAGAGGGCATCCAACTTTGTTGTCGCCATGGCGGTGCGTAATCTTTCTTGTTCAGAGAAGTAACACAAACTGACGTTCCCAGGTATTCGGAAACTCAAATTCGCTCCCAATCTCCCTCGTTATCTCGCTCTCCAAAACATTGTCTGGCCTACATTGGGACAAGGTCCCCGGCGACAACGACAATGACGTCGGCGCGCGTGGCATTCTCTACCTCCTTATCTTCCAACAACTTGGTCAGCTCGTGCGATGGACATGGGGCTTCAACGTGCTTCTAGCACCTGCCAGTGCCTACAAAGACGATGACGGCGGCAGGAACAGCGCCATCGAAAATGGAGAGTACACAGACGACGAGGCACAGCGCCTTCTTGATGACTCGCATTCCGACTACGAATCTGGGAACGTTACCAGCTACGCTACTTCGGCAGACTCAGACGAGTCCGATTCAGACTCCCTGTTCAACCGCGAAGAGGCTCAAGCAACTACCGATTTCATCACTCCCACCAACGGCAACGCTACGATTCCGGGTGCCGGCGACATGAGCGGACATAGCAATGGCAAAGGTCTTGCAAACGGACATCTCAACGGTGTTCTCGAGGCTCACAAAAAGAAGCAGAATGTCCCCAAAGGCATCAAAGGAATGCCAAAGCGAGCTGGCATGGCGCTGAAGCGCTCTGCCAGTACCGTATCTGTCTCTACCACACGCGCTGGAAACCGGGTGTTCCATGCCCTACCTACATGGCTACAAGGACCTCTTGCTAAGACTGGCTCTGTCTTGTCAAGGTTCTTCAAAGGCGTATGGGACTTCATGAACCCTCCCCTGTGGGCCATGCTGATTGCTATCCTCGTCGCCTCTATCCCTCCGCTACAACACCTCTTCTTCGACCCAGGAACATTCGTCAGCAACTCAGTCACGCGTGCCGTCTCCCAAAGTGGACAAGTCGCCGTTCCGCTCATCTTGGTCGTCTTGGGCGCCAACCTTGCCCGTAACACACTGCCTAAGGAAGACCAGCACTCGATGGAAGACCCGAGTGTGGAGAAGAAGCTTGTGATTGCCTCCCTTGTCAGTCGCATGCTTATCCCGACGCTTCTCATGGCACCCATGCTAGCCGTGACTGCCAAGTATGTCCCCGTTAGCATTCTCGATGACCCCATTTTCATCATTGTCTGTTTCCTGCTCAGTGGTGCACCAAGTGCGCTTCAGTTGGCGCAGATCTGCCAGATCAACAACGTGTATATGGGTGCCATGTCAAGGATCCTGTTTCAGAGTTACGTTGTTTGGATCTTGCCATCGACCCTGCTGTTGGTCATGCTTGCACTCGAAACAGTGGAGTGGGCTAAATAAGCATTTCCTTAAAGGAGGTGACGCGCAGCATGCTATCGGCTGCAGACGTATAATTTGTTCTCAAGCGAGGCGTTATGGTATTCTGTATGGGTCGTTTCCTTTTTGTATCGGGGGCTTCGGGCATGTCAGGGTCTAGGGACTGCACTGCGTTGAAAACAGCTTGTGTATACACTGTAGTACTCAGAAGGTATATTTGGTACTGCCATCTTCTGATAGAACACATGAACATAATTTGCCACGTTACGCTCGCATACTCCACACACTGGTTCAATGCCAGGTTTCTGTCTACTCGAACCCTGACGTACATTGCCAAGGCTGCGAATACTGGAACGAGGCCGATAGCTGCCCAACTGATAGGCTCTAGGCAAGAGCAACTAGGGTAGGGAGACAGTCTACACACCAGTTTGCCGTCTGACCCAGCTATGATGCTCTGCCTCTGAATTGTTTATATCAACCAAGGTCCGGATATAGATTTCGCTGTGCTTGTTTCTCTCCTCTCCCCAGTCTTCTCTCCTCACAAGTTATCCTGACCGCCAATCAGCTTGGCACGTGGACCCTGATCTCGCGTGTACTTTCTGGCGTTCCTGCCACACTAGGTATCGATAACACCTGCCCACCAAACAACCCCGACCTTCCTACCCACCAACGTGGGCACGCCTATTACCAGGTCTCATTGCTGTTCGAAGCCGCCAACCGAGCTCTACTCTACTACGAGGTCGATCCCGCTTACATTGTTCCCGTGCACCTCACTGCGAGCCCTGGGCGATTACCATGGCGACTTCCTCCAATGAGCAGTCGCAGCCCAGTGGCCCTCACCCAAGCGACTCATGCGCCCTCTCGCAAAACACTACTTCGGCCGATGGCACCTCGCCGCGCTCTACAAAAGGTCAGTCCATGCTTTTGCTGCCGCTTTTTGACTCTCAAGCCCTCGCAATCAGTTTCTCATTATTTTCTGAAAATGCTATTCAACTGTCGACCTAGCTGTAGCAATGTGACTGTTCAGTGATTGACAACAACCCCTGCTTAGGCGTCGAGTTGATTCTCGATGTCTGGTTGAGTCCTGTGGCTAAGATGTAGCTTATGCACGCCATGTAGCAATATGAGCGAGTGCAACGCCCGAAAGCAGTGAACCCAATACCTGACTGACACACCTTCATGTTGTCTGCGGAGTGGCTACCGAACACCGGCTAACCATGCGCCCACAGTTGTGTCCTTTCCCGACGATAGCACCATCTCCCCATTGATGATCGGCAAAAACAAGGAACTTGACCAAAAGGATTACCTCGACCTCGACAGGCCCACGAAGCATTACCCCGCAAGCATCAGCAAAAAGAAACTATCTGGACGGCCCTCAGTCGAGCGACTGGCCTCAAACAAGGCGGCGCCAAGTGAGGGAAATCCATCTTTGTCTTCCCTACTCTCGAATAGCTCAACAGATGCCACCTCTGACGGCCAGCACGCACACGAGAATCTATTGAAACAGGTGGGCACATGGCTGAAGCATGAGCGAAGTAGACGCCATGCGCGTAGGGAAAGGCGCAAAGCTGCTAAGGGGGGCGCTGTCCAAGAGCCGATAGAGGCTGTTCCTGATGAGACAGTTGATGAGTCCAACGCTCCAACTAGGAGTAGCTCGGTATCGTCTCACGGTGACGACTCCCTCGATCAACTGGCACACATCCTTGAGAAGACTTTGTCCATGAAGCCAGCCGACGCTAAGAGGAGGATGCAACACTTTCGCAGATCTTCAACAGGCTTGAAGCGACACTCCGCCATTTCTCTAGATACGGACTACTTCGAGTCTGTAGACCAGTTAGTCCCGAGCTGCGAGGCTATCTTAGATAACTCAAAGACTATGGCGTACAACGCAGATGTTTCAAACCGCGAGTCCACCTCGCAAGTATCAGAGAAGGAAGCACGCAAAGAAAAAGAGGCGTGGACCAATTTCCGAGCCGAGGTCCTCCGTCTAGTTCACACGCTGAAACTTAAAGGATGGCGGAAGGTATCCATGGAACAGAGCAACGAGATTGATGTGCAGAGGATGAGTGGCGCTCTAACAAATGCTGTTTATGTTGTCTCGCCTCCCAAGAATCTACCACTCCAAGAGCAGGGCGAAGATGGCCAACCAAAACCAAAAAACCCTCCCCCGTAAGTCTTTCTTACTATACAGAAGACAAGTCTAACACGTTTTAGCAAACTTTTGCTGCGTATCTACGGCCCACAAGTAGAGCATCTGATTGACCGAGACTCTGAATTGCATATTCTTACGCGTCTTGCTCGAAAGCGAATTGGTCCACGCTTGCTTGGCACCTTCACCAACGGACGCTTCGAGGAGTTTCTTCATGCAAAGCCATTGACTGCGAAGGAACTGCGCAATGCGGAGACGTCCAAGCAGATCGCAAAGCGTATGCGGGAGCTTCATGAGGGTATTGATCTCCTGAAGGAAGAGCGAGAGGCCGGCCCATTCGTATGGCAAAATTGGGACAAGTGGGTCGATCGTTGTGAGCAAGTCGTTACTTGGCTCGATCAACAGGTTCGAGAGAACAACCAAGACTCAGTGCAATCTCCCGGCGACAAGTGGAAGAAGCGAGGATACGTGTGCGGTATGGAATGGCCCGTGTTTAGGCAGATGGTTGAAAAGTATCGGAGATGGTTAGAGGAGCAGTACGGTGGCGCAGACAAGATTAACGAGAGAATGATCTTTGCTCACAACGACGTAAGTCGGACCTTTCGCCATGTCATTCAAAAGCTGACTCTGCGTAGACCCAGTATGGCAACATCCTTCGTATGGTTCCTGACGGCGAGTCGCCTCTACTGCTTCCAGCAAACCAGCACAAGCAGCTCGTGGTCATCGATTTCGAGTACTCAAACGCAAACCTTCCTGGTCTGGAATTCGCCAACCACTTCGTAAGCATATTTCTTCGAATCTTCTCAAGATACCATGGATTCAGTGATCTTTACATCGTGTATATGACAGCTGACAATAACCCAGACAGAGTGGACGTACAACTACCATGACGCGGAGTTTCCGTGGCGTTGTAACACAAAGTACTACCCCACCGTCGAGGAGCAGCATCGCTTTGTTCGAGCATACCTGATGCATAACCCATCGTACAAAGCGGCTGGAGGCTACACTTCCAACCCTGCCACTCCACATTTGGGTCCTCTTCCGTCCTCCGGAAGCACGACCGCACTGGCAGCGACTGCCGCCCCCAGCAACATCTCCGCGTTCATGTTGGATTCGCGTGCTCCTCCAGGCGAAAAGTACCAGGAGCAAGAGGCCCAAGCCGAGCGACAGATTGAAGAAGAGACTCGCCGCCTCTTGGCCGAGACCAAGCTCTGGCGTCTCGCCTGCTCCGCCATGTGGGTAGCGTGGGGCATAGTTCAAGCACACGTCCCAGGTCTTCCCGACTTCACCGCTGAAGAAAACAAGGCAAACGTCAATCCCAGCCAGGAAGCGGCAGAATTAGACAGCGCTACAGCAGAGGTTAGAGCCGAGGCGGAGGCTGAAGAGAAGGGGGCTGGGATCGTGGGTGAAAAGATGGCTGAACAGGCACAAGAGAACAAAACACAAGCGGAACAGGATACTGACCTTTTCAAACCACAGGATGAGGAAGAGTTCGACTACTTGGCCTATGCTAACGACCGCGCGATGTTCGTGTGGGGCGACGCTATCCGCATGGGCATCGTGAAGGCAGAGGAGGTGCCTGAGGAGTTGCGGAAGAGGGTTAAGCTGGTAGAGTACTAAAGAGTGGATGATGATACGAAGTCATGATTGAGACGCAGTGAGAATGGCTATGTTGATGTCATTTGTTGATGGAGGACATGCATCGGTCTAGTGGAGAAAGTGCCTTACTGATTCAAGCCATGATCAGGGTTGGAGGAGGAGCGCGATAGGGTTTAGCCCAAGATTTGGAAGCTTACTGGACACGGTACTCCGTGTTACTGGTGTCAGGTCCATGTCTTCTCAATTGACTGAACCAAGACCAAGTCGCACTCAGATGCGAAGAAAATCAAACAAGTAAAACCACAAGCTTTCCGTCATGACTCAGACTGTTGGTATTGTAAAGGCTGTTCGGTTGAGCATAATGCAGACCCATAGATTTGCGCAAACTGGTATATATCCAAAAACCCCATGAAATGACACAAACGCCGGAGAGGATAGCATCCTCTTGTAAGCCAAGTCGTACAATCATGCCAACTGAAGTCTCGACGAACAAGGCATCTCAGCTCAGCTTGTATCCATGACATCACCATCATCCCCATTCTCTTGCTCGTTCGCCTTCTTGGCCTTGTCTATCCTCCCAAATGCGTCAACCAACCCTTCCAAACCCCTAACCTCGTCCGCTCCAACTCTACTGCCACCCTCCCAGACCCCTTCAACGCCATCCCTTGTATCCACACCCCGTCTCTCCAATATCCTCTTACTTTGACTCTCAACATAGACTCTACGTTCGCGGCTCAATTCCTCTTTATCCTTGGTTTGTGGTTGAGAATTGGTAGTATGAGACGATGGAGTGGTGTTGCTGGGTAAAGCGGTATTGGGTAGATGGGGTTTTAACGATGCGAGGAGTTGGCGGAGATGAGGGAGTTGGGAGGTTGTGAAGGTGGTGTGGGTGGTTAACGGAGCGGGTTTCTTGTCATTGTTCTTGTTTTCTCCGTTGGAGGCAGTGTTTGTGTTTGATTGTTGTGGTAGGACTTGCATTCCTAGCGACTGAGCGGCTGCCGTGTGTGTTAGGAATGCGAATGGTACGCTTTGCTCGTTTTGTCCGTTTCTCTCCGACGACGCTTTTGACGGCGATTTAGATGTTCCTTGTTCACGCTTCGGCGCGGGGGGTGGTTGGAGTAAGGCTTTTAGCCGTGCTATTTGCGCCTCGTTGCGTGTCTTCTCTGCGACAAGCGCAGCGTTCAACTTTTGGGTTTCGATTAGTTTACGGCGGAGAGTGTAGAGGGCTTCGGGAGTGAGTTTCGAATCTTTGGGCGGGGGTTCGAGATTCTGTTCTTCTTGTTAGTCCTCTCCCAACTTCCCTCTTCCCTCTTCGTGCCTCGAAGTGATAGTGTCGCCGTCAGCACACATACCTCATAGTGCCCTAACCTAACCCACTCTCCCAAGCCTTCGTCCCCGCCCTTCCCCCTTCCCAACGCAAAAACATTTCTCAGCGTCCAAATCTCCAGTTTATCGAAATTCTTGTCCACGGCATTCTCCATGAGCGTTTCGAGCTTCAATACGCCTTCTTCAATCTCTAGTCTAGCCTCGGGAAACAGATCGTTGCCATCTCCGTCTCTTTCGGGTGTACGTCCTTGGGAGGCGTATAGGTCTGCGAAACCGAGTAAGGAGGGGTCAGCGGAGGAGAGACCGGTTTCGAACGAGTCGGTACAGCGGTAGAGGACTTCGTTTACGGCGTTGATGATGTCGTCAATTAGGGACTACAAGGCTCGAATGTTAGTCGAAGCGGTTCGAGAGTGCTGAGTACAAAGTCGAGTGGCGTTGTCTCGAATCCAAGACAGATGCATCTACACAATCTGGGTGTATGGCGGGCACATGCATCTCCAACACTCTGCATTGCCCCACCATCACTCGGAAACTATACATACAATAGGAGGCCAAGTAAAGTGCTCGGTAAGGAGCATGTTCTCCTGCTGCTTTGCGCTCGCCATATCGTCTGTCGTTGGGGTGTGGTTGCTGTTGTCGCAATGCTCAACTCGATGTTTGCGACGCGCCGAGGGACGTGTTTACAGCGGACCGGGATGTCACTGGACGGAAGACAAGGGTTCGGGGCACGCGCTAGTGTGTTCGCTTATCCTGCCTCTTTGAGAGCCCTTGCAGTGAATGGGTGTGGAGGTGGAGGGGAAAGAGTATTGGCACTCTCCGCGGAACCGTACAATCTCCAGCGGTTTGCGTTTGTTGAGGGCCTAATCCCGTCTACAAGAGGCTGGCAATGCAGATGCTGTACATTCATCACTAAATCACTGGCACAAGAAGTCCCTAGAGCGAGGCGGACAAGTAGTCAAAGATGGAAGATAATCCTTCATATTGTGTGCAGCCTATTTAGCCGTCACACCACTTGATACAATGTCCACAAGCACATATGCTTGAAATCCTAAATTATACAATGCTACCTAGCTGTACAGTAAGACTTTTATCGTCAATACTCAAAGCTGGTGCTTTCCATGAAGATAGATCATGACATCCAAAACCACCTTCAGTACAGCTAGTCCCCTACCATCCACCCAAAGCTGCACATGCAGAGCATGGTTGATGTACAGTCTCTTCAATCTTATGCCAAATGCTCGAGGCAAGAATACTTTTCCGCGGTCGCTGTGGGGCAGAGAGAAGACGGGAATAATTGGTAATCCAAGATAACACTGCAACACAAATAACGCCATCAAGTCCAGAGTAAGACCTGGAGTGACCCTTCTCTCCATACGTCATGTCGCTGTCGTAAATGCAGTAGATGTGAAGCAAAAGACAATACCACCACCATTATCGTACCCGTAACCTGCGCGGCGGAGCTAGGTATCTATACAAGACGTCCTCCATGGACAATGTCAAGTTGCATGTCGCTCAGTACACCCGCTGGGTTTGTTCGCGGAATCGGCGCTCTTCTTCCGCTCGGCGGGCCTTCTTTTCCCGCTCCAGTCGGATTTTGTGCGCTTCGGTGCCGTCGTCCATGAGTGACTCCTTGAACCAAGGGTGTTGCAGTGCCTCCTTGGCCGTTATCCGCTTCTTGGGGTCGTACACGAATATTCGCCGTAGTAGGTCGAGGAACTGACGGTTAAAATCGGTATGCGCTGGTATTGTTTCCTGTGAATGTTAGATTATCATCAAGCGGCACGATGTAAATGAACATACAGGAAGCTTCTTCATCGCTTTCACGTATTTCTTGGATGCCTTGTTGGTGTCCGCGTTGGGGTAATCGAGCTTGTAGTTCTTAAAGTATCGCGCAGCACTAGACATATTAGCAGCGTCATGTATCGAATCATGTGTGTACTTACGAGCTCGATGAGTTTCGTGATGACCCGCGGTCTTGCTTGTAGACGGCTCGCACAATGTCTCGATCAATCTTGCCACTGCAGACGGCCTCCATCATTGCCAGATGCTCGAGGTTGTCGTGCGTTTGGAACAGGGCGTCGCCAGTGAAGAATTCGACCAGGATGCATCCTATACTCCAGATGTCGCAAGGGAAACTCCAGCCTAGGTTGAGGATAATCTCAGGCGCTCGGTAGTGGCGAGTTGATACTACTGAAGAGTGGTACTCATCGTTGAAGGTTGCTGATCCAAAGTCGATGAGGCGGATCTCTGGGTCAAGGAGGACCTTGCGATGCCGCGCTGTCCGGTTAACTGTTGTTGACGACGACGGTACAGTCCTATTGTACGTAAAGGTCTGGTAATTGTTATTGACAAGCAGGATGTTCTCCGGTTTCAAATCGGTGTGGATCAGATTAAGGTCGTGGAGGAAAGCAACACTGGTGAAGAGCTGCTTCGCAAACTTCTGGATGTGGGAGCTGGGGAACGGAACAAAGCCGTTGGACTTGAGGAAGTCAAAGACACTTTGTCCGTAGAGATCGGTGACAATGCAGATGTGGTTCCTGAAGTCGAAGCAATCCCGCAGATGGATACATCGGTTGATGTTGTGCTTGTCGTTGGATGCCAGTGTTGATAGTACCCTCAACTCGATGCGACTGGCATCTCGGTATTTGGGCACTGATCGAATGACCTTGATGGCACAGTTTGTGCCTTTCCGTCTGTCGTAGGCCTGGACGACTTTACCAAAGGTGCCCTGGCCAAGCAGTTTTGTGATCTGGTCTGATATCGGGTGTTAGCACGATTCTTAAGTGTATGCAGTAATTGTCACGTACATCGCTCTGTGAGATCGGCCTCTGGGACTACGATGTAGTGGCCGTCTTCATCATCAACCTTTTGATCCTTTGTGTAGGATTTCTGCGACATGTCAGTATGGAGCAGTCGAGTACGAGTCGCACTTCTTACGTCTTGGACAACCTGGACATAGACATCCTTGGCCTTGATGACGGGGTTAGGCGGCGGCTGATACAAGCTGAAGGGGTCGTCATTGTCCAGCTCTCGTCTCTTGGCCTGTTTTGCTTCGTCCTGTACTACGGCGCGTGTGCGCTTGCGCTTCTGGCCGGCTGCACTGTTGTCGAGAGGCGAGATGTGATGACCATTGCTGACCTGTGAGCCCAGCGAGGTAGGCGCAGTGGTGTTGATAGCGGAGGTGGTCCTGTCGGTGGACAGCGAGTGGTTGGGCGAGTCGTAGTAGGGTGTCTGGGTGGTCGAGTAAGAGGTGTGCTGGTTGTAGACGGGGTCGTATGCCGTGGATGCCGTCGTCTTGCGCTTCTTGTCGGTATGGCGCGCAGACGGGTTTGTGGCGGCGTCTCGTGCAGACGGCGGCTGCTGGCGCGGTGGAGGCAGCTGAGGGTCGTCGTCATCATCATCGTCGTCGTCAATGACAATGACCTCTTTCGGGATGCCGTTCCTGTAGAAGTCGGCCCAGTCGGGATTCCGCCGCCGCTGGGCCGAACCCGGGTCGGTCGCGCTCATGTCGATGGGCGGGGCCTGTGTGATGGGCGGGAGCTGTGGCGGGTGTCTGGTGTGGGCAGTCGCGTTTCGGCGAAGGTCTGAATTGGAGGAAGCGCTAGCGTAGCCGTTGTAGAGCGAGTTGCCTATGCGAGCAGAGCCGTTGGCAATCTGGGCATTGGAGATGGTGGGCTGGTATGTCTGGTGGTGAGAATAAAACTGATGATGGGGCGGGAGTGTGGCCGTGGCGGTCGAGGGCGTAGACATGGCTGGGTTGTCTCTCTGGGGGTGCGAGAGCCGACGTCGTGACGCTACTTCTCTGCTGCGCAGACGGGCGGACCAAGCACGTCGCTGAGGCGGCCAAGCGGCGCGATGGGGGCGCCGATTTGGACGGGTGCCGTCGTTGGTGATGCACAGGCGGCGGTTTCTGCGTGCTGGGACGGAGGCTCGCGGCCAGCAAAGGCGTTATCGCAGGCCTTGGCCAGTCGACGATGGTGCTGCCGAAGGTGCTTCACGCCGCGGCTGGATGCAGGACCTGGGGCGGGCTATAGCAGGCGTCTGGGCGATGGGGGGGCACTCTGGGAACAAGGGCGGGCGTCGAACATGCCAGAGAGGAGTGAAAGCGTCGTGGTCGCAGGGTCGAGGCAGGCGAGTTGAGATCACACTTGTTGCGGAGTCTGTGGTGAGAAGCCGGGGCCTGTGCGGTCCACATGGAGCGTCATTCGTTCAATCTTCTCGCGGCACGCCAGTCGACCGTCTCTCTTTCGCGTCTCGCGCCCTCGTCGACGACCCTACTACACTGCGCCAGCCTCAATCCTCGACTCTATTTGACGGCAATCATCCCCCGTTGCATCTAGTCTTTCCCTGCTACATGCTTCCAAGGTTGCAACAAGGTCATGTGCCTGCGCTGCGCGTTTGGCAGCAGCTAGCCTGATGAACGAGAAAGCCGCCGGACGCCCATTAATATCTCTTCGGTCGCTTGGGGGCAAGAGGGTGGCCCAAAGCTTTCTCCACTCGACCTGTCTGGCCACATTTACGCACTCGTGCAAATGCTCATATATTCCACAATATCAAATACGTCTGCCGCCGCGCATCCTATACAATGTACACACTATGTCGTAGTAGGCCCGCGATGTTGCTGAACCGCGCCCTGACCACCAGCATGTCGCAGACTGGTGACAGTGAAACTGCTGCACATGAAGACCATCCAAGAAGGAAATCAACTCCGCAGCACGAATCCCTACCATGTGCGGCTCTACAGGCATCGGATCTCCTTCCACGTCGAGGCCTTGTGTGACCGCTACAAAGTGAAGCAACGTCGGTGGTCACGGCAAGACGGTGATCTGCGTGTAGTGTCATCTGGTTACTGTGGTAGTCGAGCAACCACCATCCTTCGTGACGAGCGCTTTCTCAATAATGCACGATACCATGGCAACCCGTCTCTAGACACTTCACCTCCCAACATCAAGTCAATTCAGGGTCCATCCAAATCCAGCTATTACTGCATGCTGGCTGCCCTCCGGCTATTCGCGAACCCTGGAAAATACGAGGCCCGGTCCCTGCCGCACGTGGAGCAACACAACGTTGCCGCTCATGACTTGCTGCTAGTTTTCCTCGATATCACCCAACTATACATACTCCCAACTCTCTTATCCTCCAGGCACACGCCACACACGCTGATGTGAGATTTCTCTGCTATTGGTACCGGTCGTCTGGGTTCGCTGTTTTGCATCTCACCAAGGCTGGGCTGATGGAAGGTTTGCTGCACTCCGCTTCACCGATAACGTCATAGCCCCAGCGTCTCCACACCTACACCACACTTCATAGTCAATAGCAGTGTATCACACAGGCCCTTGAATCCACACCATTCACTGAATTAGCAATGTTGGGTTCTTGCGACGACAGTTCTGTATGCGCCTGTGATTAGCCGCCAAGGCTGAGTCGCTGCATGGCCTGCAGTCGTGCGCGGCACGGGTGTATGCTAGCAGGGCGCTCAACCCTGGTCTGGCTGATATGTGGGTACTGTGCCCGATTACTTCCTGCTCACTTCCCACTTGCTTGCCTTCTGTACCTGCCTTGACTGCGGAGAAGATGAACTTTACTCCATTCATTCTATGGTTGTAGTAGTGCAAGAGGCAGTACGTTCTAAAACAAGTCGACTTGGGGTAACAAGAGTTGACAACCAAGTTAACAATCAAGATTTGTATTGTACACTACTCCGTTATATAGCGGTGTTGAACTGCTATTTTTTACTACATAGCTGGTGTTGAACACAGACCATGGTGAATAACATGGTACACACCTATGGGTCCACTCTTGTTCCTCCTCCAATCTGGTGTGTGAACCAAAACATCTTGGCTCAAATACATGTTTTGTAGAGGTAAATTGATATAACCGACAGCTTCCACTATGCAGATGAGTTTTTTTTTTCTTTTTTGGTCCATAGCCGAGCGCCTCTTCTCAGCGCGATAATATGTTCAGACAGCCGCTCCGATGCATTTTTCCTGATGATCGTGATTGCCTTCTTTCGTGATGCAACCTTCAAAACCCAGTCTCGAAAAACCATCACACAGACGCCTCGCATATGCTGGTCAAAAAAGCCGTCCGTGCAGTAGTGAAAAAAAAATCGTGAATCGTGATTAATCACGACGAATGAGACATGGTCGGCTGGTCGATATCCTCGTTCAGCGTGGGTGGACATGGCGCGATGTTGGTGATCACAACTTTGGGGCCACACTGAGTTCCGCGAAGAAGTCAACAACTGTCTTGCAGACACGGTCGACGATAAATTCGACGTCGCTATCCGTGATGTTGTATGCAGGAGCGATGATGACATGATCTCCACGGGTGCCGTCAAACGTACCGGACCCTGGATATACATAGACGTTGTATCCATCCTTCAGCCCTGGTGTAATAGTCAGTAGACGAAATACTCGTGAGAGTAGGACGAAAATACCCAGCTCATGGACCCTCCAGGCTACTGCCACTTCGGGATCGAATGGCACTTTGGTCGCCTTATCTTGCACAAACTCAATCTGCCATGATTAGAAGCTGCAACACAAGTACAGATTGCTTCTCACACTTACCCCGAGAAACAGACCTTTACCCCGGATGTCGAAGACATTGGGATGATCACTTAAACGAGCCACCAAATTCTTCATCAGCTTCTCCCCCTTGTCCTTGACATTATCCAAGAGCTTGTCGTCTCGAACGATTTGTTGTACTGCAAGACCAGCAGCGCATGCCGCAGGGAAGTTCTGGAAGGTATGACCGTGAGCGAAGGCGGATTCTCCAAGGGCATCCGTTATCACTGGTCCCACGAGCATGGCAGATATGGCTGCGTAACCGCCTGCAAGGCCCTTGCCTACCAATTGGATATCTGGGACGACGTCCTCATCTTGCCAGGCATGCATATAGCCGGTGCGGCCCATGCCACTCATAACCTCGTCCAAAACGAAAAGCACCCCGTACTTCTTGCATACACTCTTCATGGCCGTAAGGTAGCCGGGTAATGCGGGAACGCATCCAAGTGCCTGCATCAATATGTCAGAGACTAAGTACTCGAAAACGTGGCCTGATAATCATGGTGCTACTTACCGCGCCCACGACAGGCTCCATAACGAAGCCGGCTACTGTTTCAGGGCCAAGATCAAGGATCTTGCGCTCCAACTCATCTTCAAGTCGTTTAACATACTGAGCTGTCGTTTCTCCCTTGATCATATCGCGGCAAGGATTGCAAGGAGATACGAATTGGGTCTTCTCGGGTAGTATAGGTCTGTACATCTCCTTGCGGCCTTTGTGCCCACTGACCTCAAGAGCACCAAGCGTCGCTCCGTGGTAGGATCGATCGCGGGCAATGAACCACCGGCGTTGAGGTTGCGGATTGTCTTTCGATTTGGAGTGATATTGGTAGGCTAGCTTTTGAGCTGCCTCATTAGCCTCGGAACCTAATGACTGTAAGCTTCTTTTCGGTCATCAGAGGGGCATAAGCCATATTACCAGACCCATAGAAAACCACCTCAGTCATCTTATCATCGGTTGATTCAAGAAGAAAATCTGCAAAATCCTCCACTACATCAGTTTGGAAACTCATGGACGCGGCGTACCCAACACCAGTTTCTTCTTGCTGTCTTATAGCTTCATACACTCTTTGGTCTTTGTGACCAATGTTCGATACAGCAGCACCTCCAGAAGCGTCAAAAATCCTCCATGCCGCCTTGCCATCTGAGACTGACAGCCAGTTGCCCTTGGCCCCTTCGAGAAATAGGGGAGGGCCCCTCGCACTGCGTTTGAGTAAAGGACTGCGAGGGCCATTGCGGTTTCGGCGGTTTCGGCGATCCCGAGAAGTAGTAAGTGCAGGGACTTCGTCCATACTTGATAATGAGATGCTGCTCTCGGATGCTGGACTAGGAGTGCCGCTCCCATCGAATAGTAGAGCCGGTGCCATCTTCGCTATTCGAAGAACAAAGACGGTAGGTAAGTGCGTAATAGAACAATGAACCAATAGAGTAGGAATTAAATAAATTCATGCAAGTCTTGGAAAGGAAAGCACAATAATCGTAGAGGACTGCACAACGGCTGAAGAGGGGAAAACAGAAAGAGAGTGCGAATGCAGGTGAATGACCGGTGCCTTTATAGTCACTTGATAGTCGCATGGGCTAGCCACGAATCGTATTGTGATCCGACCGGTGAGGCGTCTTCTTGGAACGGAACGTTTGCGGTGTAATCAGGCTCAGGGTCATCGAACCACTCTTCAAACTCTCGGCAGACCATCTTCAGCCCTAGATTTCGGGCCGGTGGGAGAGCCTAGATCTGAGAAGACCAGGACATGAAAGCATTCTGGTTCATGCCTAGTTTTCAGGTCCACGGATTTGTAAATTAGATGCGGTGAGGGAGATTAGGCTTGTTCATTCTTGTGAAGAGTTAACGGTCAATCGCTTACTCAATTAGCCAATCAGGATATATTGTGGCTGTTTTACCGGATTTTGCTTGATATCGACGTGATAAAAGGACGGTAAGCCGAGTACGATAGGAAGACGCCATATGTAAGACCAGGGACTATAATTGCCTCGATGTCAGGGCAAGAAACTAGAAGCACTCAAAGATAGTCATCCTTGCATGTACTGCACGGCATAGGAATATCCAAGAGACGGGAACAGTGTTTAGCAGGGCCAACGCGGGTCCGTTCCTGTCGTCAGATTTCCAATCGAATCTCACTTCAGCAGCTTACCACACACGTGCATGCACTGAAAACGCCATGCCTTAGCGGCTCGCAAACAGCCACCACGCATGTATCATTGCCACATGGCGGGAGTGGAGTATCCAAAAAGAGACGTGGGTCTGTAGGGTCGACAAGGTCCGCTACGACCGAATGCAATCAATGCTAAGAAGATCGGATCGGGTTTTAACCGTAAATCTTGTGTAACCGAGCCTAGTGTATGACATCCGAGTGCTCCCTGATATTCAGTGACGGCATTGAACACGAAGGAAGCCTCTTGGGTTCCATCAGAAGCCGAAAGACAGGGCGCTGTGTGCTTACCGTTGCGGATGCTGGCGCATGTTACGAGCTAGAAGACTTGGAACCTGGAAGGCTTGTGCTCCTTCCAATGCATGGGAACGATCTGACACGAGTTCCTATAACGCTTAGATGGAGGTGGATATGCATACTACAGTGATTGTGAATCGTGACCGTACAAGGATGACGTCGAGTGAATGAGTCCACTTACATACTAGAGGTTATTGTGGGTGAGGGTGCGGCCAACCAGATGCATGCGGCCCTGTCGCTTCTCTCCATATTGGCCCGCTGAGAGGGTTGGAGTATCGACGCTTCAATGGGCAGTTGAGGTGCCGGACACACGCGGACAAGTTACTACAATTGATCAACTGCAGATCCTGGCACTAGCGTGACGGCACGAGATGATGCAGCAGAAGGAATAGAACAAAATGCGCAGACGCCATGTCAGGTGCCGTGGTTGCGATTGGGGAAGAGACGTTTTCGGCAGAGCGGGCTTGACGTGGTGGCGCGGCGTGATAACGGTCAGACCCCTGCGTATAACTGCAGGCCGTGCGATGGCGACCAAGACGTCACCTGAGGATTCTAGGAGAAGGCAAGTTGCGGTGAACCAAAAAAAGAGAGTTAGCTCAGCATCGGGAAGTGGTGCTAGAGAGTCGTTGTCAAGTCGGGACGAGAGGTGGTCGACCGGGCCGTAGTAGGGTACATGCAAGAAGGCGCCGAAGCGCCGAACCGAGTCGGTAGCGCTTGGCCCTTTCCACAGCCAAGCCCCGCGTTTAGCTTTCCCCACATCCTTCCAGGCGTTCAGCCGGCCTTGAACATATCACGATAATTCAATTCCACCGGAGAAGGCGAGGTAAGTGGCGGGCCGAGCAGCGTTGAATACGAACGCAATTTGACTCATGGACAGGACCGACCGGCAGACACGATGAATCCCCGCGTAGAAGAAGTCAGCGACTCGGATAGCGATCCGTCAGAGATGGGCATTGACGACGTGCCCGCTCTGATGAATGCGACCAGTATACCCAGCACTAGCACCTCTTCTATGCCGCCACAGTCGCAGATGTTGCAGCCGCAATCGCCCGCGATCAAGACGTCTACGGACCGAGAAAAGTCCAAGCACTACCAATGTCTATACCCCATATACTTTGACAAGTCACGGACAAGGGCAGAGGGCCGTCGCGTGGGGAAGGAGCTTGCAGTAGAAAACCCCCTGGCACGAGAGATGGCCGACGCTGCCGCCGACCTGGGTCTCCGAACCGTCTTTGAGCCTGACAAAACTCACCCAAAAGACTGGGCCAATCCTGGCAGAGTGCGTGTCCTGCTCAAGCATCAAGGCAAATTAATGGACGACGACGTGAAGAACAAGCATCACCTCTACATCCTCATTGCGCAGCATCTCAAAGCCCATCCAACACAGAAGAACACTCCTTTCAGGTTACCCATCGCAGGCCTACCCATGCCAAAGGAGATGCCCGAGCCCGCGATACCTAAGGGATGGAAGATGAATAAGATCCTCCCCCTACACTCGCCTGCCTTGACGGGTGGCGGAGTCAGTGAAAACTTCATGCAAGACATGATGGCGGAAATGATGGGTGGTGACGGAGGCAGCGGCGCAAACAGCGGGACAGAATCCAAGAAGAAAATCAAGGACAAAAAGAAGAAGTGATGCAACTCCATGCATCGTCGCTGTCTACCCGTCGGCACTTCCGTCATCTAAACCCCCGCGTCAGTGGTCTGGCGATTGTCACATCAATCCGCTCCGCGATCATGCATCATTAAGGTTGCCGTAACATACGACATGTCACTGCAGCACACGCGCTTAGATACCATTCACGATAGGAGCAATAAACGTCTCGTGTCGCGAAATCAACGTATCAACAACATCTACATTCATACAATAATGCTGCCTTCGATGTCTTAGCGTCACTTCTGTACGGTACTAACGCCTGCGCTGGCTACCGTCTCTTCGCTGCACTTACACTCCCTGTCTATAACCTCCCGCCTCTCTTTGGCGCTCTCTCTCTTGGCCTTCAAACAGCCGTCAGTATATCGTTTGATCTGATTCGACACAGTATCGAGATTTACACCGCTGCTTCGAGTGCTATGCACCTTCTGTAGATGGGCGTCTGTCTGCATTACAATGCACCGCTAGTTGCCCGCATCTCCGGCATCGAATACTCCGACCGGCATGCATGACCGCCCGCTTATCATGCTGTTTGGACAGCATTGTGCTGCATGATACCCTGCGTTTGAGTGTCTATTATTACATGCTATCCTCACCTCATCATAATACTCGATGGCGCAAACGAAAGTCAAAAATGCTACACGAGACTCGGCTTACTTGTGCGTCATGCATGCATGCAGTTCCTTTCACGTGAGTGCTCAGCGGCCTAAAGCCGAACCCCCACCAACTTGTCGTTCAAGCTTTCAGCCTCCAAAGTCTGACAGTTCCGCGGACCGACCATCACTTTTCCTCGGACAAATTTGATCTGCGTGCACCCTGGTCCCCCACGCGCCACTACTTATGGCCGGCAACGCCTCTCATTTGTTCGTCTCCACCAGTTCTCACTTGCTCTATCCGATAGTTTGCTCCCTACTCCCATAATATGCTCACTTCGCGTGCCGCACCTGAGTCGTGTCAGACTTGGAAATGTTGGGCCAGGGGTGTATGTTGGTCTCCATACCGTGACCGGTCATATTTACCGCATGGCACCACTAGGTCGGGCCAGACACTACTCACGCAAAAGCGACCCTCGGACTTGATCTAACTCTTCGCGAGGCATCCATCGAACCTCCTCTAACGAGGTTATACCTACCACCTACAGCCATGTTGTCATGTTTTTCGCTATCGCATGTTCTTGACCGACAATCCCATACTCTCTGAATCTTCTTACGTACTGAATTACAGAGGCGGTCCATGAGGATATATCAAGAACGGTTTGAAGATCAAGTAGATCAGGTTCCTCGTAGTGAGCCCTCAATTGATATGGTAAGACCGCTTTGACATACGCTTGCTGATCGTGTCATTCCCTCGCTTCACTTCCCGCGCTTCAATGTCATTACACACATCTGAGCAACAAATCGGCTTGAGCTCTATACTAAAAGGTTGGCCCATGAAACTTCGTATCATCCAGGGGTGGAACGTCCATCTAATTAGCCTACTTTTTTGTGTGCGGCACTACTAATCGCCCAACTGTTGGGAACTCCGTGTCACCACCACTGTCTGTTCATAGCCCGAGAAAGCAAACCGGTCAACGTGATATAGCATGACAGTATGCGAACAGCTCCAAGCAAGATCATTTCCGTGAGTGGTGCGGGCAAAACAGCCGCACCCACTACCCAAGGTCGGCCATTCTAACATCGGTGTAAACGAGAGCTGTCCTTTTGTCATTACTTGCCACGCATACCGCAGATCCAACCAAAATTGGCCAAGCTTTAAATGGCCATTCACTGAAGAAGATGAGCTTCCGTCGGCCCGTCAGGTAGTTGCAGGGAGGAGGTGCCGTCCGCTTACTGAGGAGTTACATGGTTAAGCGGGGTCATCGGGCTGCCGTAGCTCACTCGGATGGGCAGATACTCTTCCATTAGTCTAATGATGTGGTTTTTGGGTTGTGTCGACGACAAGTGATGGAGCACGATGCCTGTTAGGTAGTGATTCAGGCGCCCCATTTCACTTTACTACTCGGGACACGGCAGTTCTCCTGCTACTACCAATCGCAAGACTCCCCACACTCATGTAATATCTTGTGGAGGCCTTAATTGGAGGCCTTGTGGGGCAGACGGGTAAGACGATTGTACGTTTTGCTCAGTGTCGCCTACTTTGAACAAAATCACTTGTGAAGAGATCAATAGATGGATATTCACCTACGTGTAGTGCTCGATGCTCCAACTACCTCTCAATGAAATCCACGCCACTTTAATCTTGTAGAAAAGCTCCATGTACTGGAACTAGGTACCTGACAAATCCGATTCGCCATGTCTCGCATGTTTGATTTAAGTATTGACCCCCACAATGGTATAAAAATATTATTGATTGTAACCTGCCTTCGTGAGACCGAGCACGAAGCGATACCCGTAGAGCCATTACTCAATTACAAGTCATACACGCTCACCTTTAGTGATCAACAAAGAGAGCGAATTTCGCGTGAGTCAGGGGCTGTTTCGACGGCATCGAATATTTAGTGCCGCCCATGAAATCAGCACTTCAACGACGAGAGAGTGATCCTGGGCGATCGTCTGAGCTCAACGCGCTTAGTCTTCCAACAAAGATTGATATTACATTGACAATGTTTCCCGTGTTTCTTGGCTCAGGGTGTACAGTCTAGTACATACGATTGTGAATATAGTTCGAGTACTTTTGGAAAATGGTGGCAATGCTGAACACTCCTCTATTCCCGACCATGGCGAAGACCGTTGAATTATGTTCTTGATGCGGAATAGCACACATACGTCTTTCCTGCGTAAGCCAAGGCAACTCCATAGCATCGTGGTCAGTCGAAACCCTCTATGACACAAGGGATATCATCAACTATTGTTGAACCGCACTGCTACATACCTTGAATCTATGCATGTCCAAGTGGCCAGTAGGTAATGACTCTCGTCCCTCTATACCGACCTGGGCTGCGCATTACATATCGTGGAATTAAAAATTATATAACTTTACAGAACGAATATCAATGGCACTGCACAGTGCGCTTGACTGTAGCATATTCGGTAGGATATAGCAACATTCAAGAGCAATAGCAGCCTTTCGTAGACAATTCGTTTGGGAATTGTCCACCGAAAGCTTTTCCCAAAACGCGAAGTTACATAGTTCAGCACTCATACCTCTCCATACCTATATTTCGATAGACAATGAGTATGACGTAGCGCCAAGTAATGCATATCACAAGGTATGCGTCAGGAAACCACATGCTCAAAATTGAGGAAGTAATAGTATTTACTTGCAGAAAAGGACTATGCATATGCCTGAACAAACTCGCCGCATATTCAGCGCCGATCATGGCGTCTATAGGTCTCTACTACTACCATCGTGCTAGACCGTTACCCCTGAAATTATCTTAGATTGTCAAGATCTTTCAACTCAGGTGGAGCAGCTGTTTAGATACCAGCCTGCTGGGCAAATCCGAGCCTTGGGCCATTGCTGCCCAACTCGTGAACGATGTACTTGCTCTTGAGGAAGATGTCACCGAAGATGCTGAAGCCAATACCGTCGTCGGTCTGAATACCACCAAAGCAAGTGCCATCACCAATGGGCGCGTAGTTAACGTACTTGCCGGGAACGGTCTGCTTGACGCCACCAACAGTGATGGAGAAGTCAGGAAGGGAAGCAGTGCAAGGGAAGATGTAGCCACCCTGAGTAGCATCGTTCTTCGCACCGCTGACCTTGGCGTAGTAGGCACGGACAATGGCAGTGTCGGTGTAGATGAGAGTGGTGCCGGTGTCAAGAATACCAGCGACAGTCTTCTGAGTGGTTGTGGTACCGACGCTGTAAGCAGATGCACTAAATCCCCAGAATCCTTGGCTATCATCCGCATTGATGTAAGTGATTGGGCCAGTGTACTTGCTCTTGTCAATGTATCCGAAGTCGTAGGTGCCGGCAGCATGGTACTTGAGTGTGACAGCGAACAACGGCTGGGCGAGCTGCGACTTGACGGTGTCGAAGAATGTCTTCTGTTGGACGGGCTGCACGGTATTGATAGAACTCATTGCAAGACCCAGGAGACCATCGGTGTCAGTGTCCTGAGAGAAGGTTGCGGAGACAGAGGTAGCAGCCTCAACAGCCTGGGTGGTAGCTGTTACACCACCAACTGTGACCTTGTCGGCATAGACCTTGCCAGAAGCACCTGAGCCGTCTCCGTAGGAGATCTTCCAAGAGTAACCGCTCTTAACCTTGGAAGCGTCGGCCTTGTAGTAGTCGTGACCACTAAGCTGAGTACTGGCTTGAAGGGATGAGAACACCCAGCTGGAATTGTGTTAGAAAAGGCCTTGAGAAAAGATTTGATACTCTGGAATATTGGGAGGTTCAAAGATAACTTACAGATCAGAGCTTCCAGTGTCGAAGTCAAGGTGGACAGTGGTGCTGCCAACGGTAACTGGGCTCAGGTACGCAGAGTCGTACTCGTCATTAGGAGCAGCAGGCACTGATCCACTCGCAGCAGCAGCGGCAACCACTGTATTGCTCGCCCTGTTCTGCGCAGCCTCTACGAGACTTTGAGGAACAGCCTTGCCATGCTTGCGCAGAGCCTTGATCTTCTGCTCGGGTCCGTTCTTCAGGTAGGTTGAGCGAGGAACCTGCTCCACTGAGAAGGAGGTACCTTTATCTAGAACATCTGTCAGCTACATGTTCTATGCTGAGGCACTATTGTGTGGCTGGACAGCATACTCAGTTGAACTGGGGTTGCGACGACTGTACTAGCAAAGGCAAGTACCGCCGTGAGTTTGGCGAAAGAAGGCATGGTAACGATGGACTGTTGATTGTACTGAAGAAGAAGGTATAAATGAAGGCGAAGGTAAACCCCGTTTGAGAGGCTTGAGAAGACGAAGCCGGTACAGAAACACAAGAAGGAGAATTTCCCTTGGCTTTATACCAAGCATTGCCACAAAGCGCGGCATAAAGTCTTGTGTCAATGACGATGATGTGCTCCCTACCCTGTCCATAGGTCTACGGTGCGCTCCATTGGCATCGCTGTGGTAGTGTAGGATCACAGTGGGGCAAACGATCAACATTGAAATTAGATCCCGCGACCACTAATGGTAACGAGTCCTATCTTGGCAGGTAGATCATGCTTGCGATTGAGTGGCGCTGCGTTTCATACATTTACCTGCTGCATTCAGACTTGGCGTCGGTCAGGAAGGTGCATGCAGAGAAGGTACATCAACAGGCGGGCACATGGATAGGTGGCAGCCCTTGTAGATCGGACATTGCGACAGAAGTGACCATCTTGCGCGACTTTAGGACCGAATGCGTGGCGGGGCATTCGTAGTAGTAGATTGGTTTCAAGGCTGATTGCAGGCTGTGAGGGTCCGCACTCGTGGCATCGGGCTGGACCGAGGTATGTTCCGTTTCTTGCGGCAAGCAGATGGTACTGTACCAAACATTGATCGTCACTGGTGACATTCCAAAATGAAGGTTGCAATAATAAAGCGTCCCTTGTTCGCTAAGGGCCAGGAAGCGCTTTCACAGTGTTGTGTAGTGCAGGTGCTCACCAGTCAAGCTTCGAGACGCCACTAAGCCTAGGACCTTCACCCTTGGCGCCATCATGCTGCAGGGTGCGGGCCAGCCACAGCCGTTTGAAACACAGCCTGGACATGTGTTGGTCACGCAAACGCGAGAATATGGCAGGTTGTGACCATGCTTCATCCTCGTGGTTGCCGTCGTTCGCTTCATGGCATGTACTTTGGATGTCAATAGTTCAACGCAAGCGCACTGTTGGACCATGGAAAGCAACCGACAAGCGGCCCAACTGCCGGTTAACAGTGCAATCACTTCTGAGTGACGGCGCGATCCAAGGAATGTAAAACTCGTCGATTCGTCCACACGAGCGGTAACTGTTAACGCATGATAGATTAATATCGTAGCAGACGAAGCGATAAGGGCGGCAGCGACTGCATTAGGGAGGTCGCGATGTGAGGTGTGGTTGAAGGGACGGCGGCACATGGGAGGTCCAGTGTAGCCCCGGGCCTTGGTGGACCTTCCCGTGGAGACTAACCCTTACATGTCACATCCACGGATTTTGCAGCCAATCATCGCCATGGGGGTCTTTTGCTCAGCAAGTCGCGAATCTCGTCTTCGGCCAATTACATGTCACATGCCCGCTTGCGCTTCCAACCTGCCCCTTCAGGATGTGATCCGCAACCTTCAGCGCACTACATCGCGGAGTGGGAGGGTATCAAGCATGATCACGCATGCCGAGGGGAATGCTTAGCACTACACTCGTGGGTTGGCACTGCTCTAGGCTGGACTACTGAAAGTTCCTCACGTCCTATCAACGGTGGAGGTTCATTATCTGCTTGCAAGTTTACTGATATGCCGATACTCGGACATTGGAACTTTCCTATCACCTGCCAAATGCGAAGTGAGCTCGTCGTCGTTGGCGTCGATTTCAAGGTATGGTATCAAGCAAAGCCAAGGCCAATGAGGAAGCTTGGTACATGCAGCACAGACATGGTCCGTAACTAGATGTGGGATGTGGATCGGGTATCTTTAGGATAGTTAGGGCTGGCTATCTTCAGAGCACTTTGTGCGGTCAACAGGTAACGTGTTTCGCCGAGAATTCATTCAGCCTCAGCGTTGCCTGTAACAGCACTCTCCAGCTGCTTCAGTGCCGTGCGATACGCCTTCTTCTTTCCATCCGCCGTCACAGTGCTCTCTTTCCACTCCATACGCTTGACCTTCTTGCTCCCACGCTTTATGCTTTCGCCCTTGGCTACTTGCTTCAAAAACCATGCAGCCTCGGTTTTTGTGAACAGCGTCCATGCTTCTCCTGCCTTGCCTGCGCGAGCTGTCCGGCCTACACGGTGGACATAGCTAGTGATACTTGTCGGAAGATCATAGTTGATGACGTGGGTAATATCAGGTATATCCAGCCCACGAGACGCGGCGTCGGACGCAATCAAGACTTTGATCGCTCCAGAGCTGAACGATTTGAGCAGCCTTCGAGACGCATCGGCTGTCAACGCCCTGGTCATTGTCTTCATGTAATTCTTGAACGCGGGCATGAGCGCACCAAGTAGATGCGACAGGCGAGATGCGCTCTCTGTGCTCTTGGTGAAGATCAGAACGCGGCCACTCTGTTGGGATACAGATGCCTGTTCATCTTGGCCGGAGTCAGAGTCTTCATCTGATGACGAATCTGAGGCGGAAGAACCCGATGAAGAGTCTGACGTTGCCTGGGCGCCTGGAAACACGTAATTGAGGAGCACATACAACAGGTGCAAGGGCTTGTTCGAACCATCGCCAACATGCACTGCAAACTCTTCTAAGGTTGACGGCAACTCAAATACGTTCTCTTCACTGTCCAGAGTTTGAGGCTCTGCAGTTTCGTCCTGTACTACGACCAATTTCGGTCGCTTCAGCTTCAGCGTGCCGAGCTTCGTGAGGTCTTTCTCCATGGTTGCGGAAAGCACAACCTTGGTGAGTTGTCTACGAGCAGGCAACGCCATGGACCAGATGGAGTTGACATCACGCTCCCGCTTTCGTATCCGTTCTTGAGCGTTCATGAACTCGACCGGAGTCTCGCCATGGAGGGCATCCATTAGCACAGTCGCCCAACCCTGGAAGTTCTGATTCAAGAGCTGGTCAGCTTCATCGATGACGAGCCAACGCACGCTGTTTAGTAGGAAGCCCGTCGTGTGCTCGATGTGTTCAACCAACCGGCCCGGAGTACATATAAGAATGTCTACACCCGAATCGTATCGTGGGACATGGTCTAGAGACATGCCTCTCAGGTCGTCATATAGTCCTCCTCTTTCCATGAAGCCTGTCTGGTGTTGTCGTGAAGCCTTTTCCTGCAGCTCCTGTGCTCTCCTGGGGTCGTATTGCGGTCTCATCTTGACGAGCTGCTTCTGCTCCGTCGCAAAGGCGACGTTGCCCAAAGCTGTGCCGACTTTGATCTTTGTTCCAGCGCATAGCTCTTCGGCAACTTGTAGGGCTTGATTGACGAGTTGCCGGCTCGGTACTACCACGATGGCGGACAGTACAGGTACAGCACGATCTTTGAGGGCTTCGATGATAGGAAGTAGATAGGCTAGGGTTTTACCAGAACCCGTTTTGGCAGAGACACATATGTCGCCCAAGTGCTGGTCAAAACCAGGATGCAGCATCGGAAGCAATGCTGTTTGTACAGCCAACGCGTCCTTGAATCCTTGTTTCTCCAACTTCTTGACGTATGAGGGATCAACACCCAGTTCAGCAAACGGTATGGTCTTCGATGCTTCGACGGTGGTAGGTTGAGCGAGCCACGTGGGAAGAGTGGAGAATGTAGGTTCGTAGACTGGCTCAGGAATGGGTGCGGGTTGCGGCATGGGTCCGAGGTCGTGAAGTTCTTCTTGTCCCTGAGTTTCGGTTGAAGCTTCCTCTTCGCCTTTTTGTCCCATTGCTTCAGCTAGTTTCGAGGCCTTTTCGAATTTCGAGAGGATGTTCTTATGCTTCTTTGAAACCTCATCATCGTGATCAGCGGTAGCTCCAGTATCACGCTTCCTCTTTTTCGGCTTCTTGATAGTCTTTGGAGCCTCTACTGCCGTGCTGTCCTGTACAGGTGCAGGGTTTGAGGCGGCGGCCATGTCAGTCGCAGTAAGTGTAGGGCTTGATGCTTTCGAGACCTCATTGCGCGCTGGAGCGGGTGAAGGCTGCTTCTTGACGATAGGCGCAGGCGGCGCGAAGCGTTTAAATAGAGGGGCCGGCATATTGAGGTAATTCCTGGCGACTCCCGGACAGAGATGGCTTGAGAAGTAGCCGGAAAGGATTCGCGACGGGTTGCGACTGCACGAGGGTGAAGTTGGCTACAAATTATTCTGGACCCTCGAAATTTGGTCGGAGCTTACCAGACGCTAAACGCCGACTGGTGACGCGCCATGCCCTGCATTCGTTCGCGACGGCGCCATGTATATCGCGACACACTCATGGGGCGTCCCCACTGCATCCATGTGCTGAGCTGCCATGTATCTCCCCTATGAACAGACTCGAGGAGCCCGTCCTCACAATCCGCAAACATGCCCTATAACATCGCGTACGTTATGGATTCAGGCCCCGCATCATATCAAGAGCTTACGCGTGACAGTATGGTTAGCGACAACTTCTATCCCCAACCTGGTACGGACCACGTCTTGAGGTTTCAAACAGTACTCATATGTTGCAGGAGGAGTGGAGAGTCACATGTACCAATTGTCGAGTGTAAGTCTACTTGGTGCCTTCACCCTGTACTTGCCTAATACGGGCAGAAACTCATCGATCGTGGACACAAAGTCATCGTCATCACACATGCGTACAATGGTCGAAAAGGCGTTCGATACCTGACCAACGGCCTCAAAGTCTACTACGTCCCGTTCTGGGTCATCTACCGCGAGACGACCTTCCCTACCGTCTTCTCCTTCTTTCCCATCTTCCGCAACATCGTAATCCGCGAGCGCATTGGAATCGTACACGGACATGCCAGCCTGAGTAGCTTATGCCATGAGGCCATATTACATGCGCGGACCATGGGATTGAGAACCGTCTTCACGGACCACAGCCTGTTTGGCTTTGCGGATGCTGGGAGTATCCTTACCAACAAGCTCCTCAAGTTCACCCTAAGCGACGTTGACCATGTCATATGCGTTAGTCATACTTGGTGCGTTTTCAACTCGCAATGGCTGGCAGCTGCTAATGCATTGTAGTAAAGAGAATACTGTGCTTCGAGCGTCCCTAGACCCTCTCATGGTCTCCGTCATCCCGAATGCAGTCGTTGCAGAGAACTTTCGTCCTCTATCGCATGATTCGATCGATCCTACCCACACAAAAGCACCGGGGCCGCAGCAGCCCATGGACCCAGACGAGATCATCACTGTCATTGTGATTCAGCGACTCTACTATAACAAGGGCACCGATCTTTTAGTAGCTGCTATACCCCATATTGTCGCCGCCAACCCCAACGTTCGCTTTATCATCGCTGGCAATGGACCCAAGGCTATCGACCTTGAACAGATGATTGAGCGCAATGTGTTGCAAGACAAGGTTCTCATGATCGGCCCAGTCCGTCATGAGGAAGTCCGAGATGTCATGGTTCGTGGTCACATATACCTCTGCCCGTCACTGACCGAGGCGTTTGGCACGGTCATTGTGGAAGCTGCATCCTGCGGGCTGTATGTTGTGGCAACTCGAGTCGGTGGTATTCCCGAGGTGCTGCCCACTCACATGGTAGAGTTTGCAGCGCCTGAAGAGGACGAGCTTGTTGAAGCTACTGGGCGTGCCATCGCCAAACTGCGAGCCGGCAAAGTAAGAACAGAGCTGTTCCACAACCAAGTCAAGCAGATGTACTCCTGGACTGACATTGCGCAACGAACGGAGAGGGTGTATGATGGCATCAGTGGTGTCATAAGTCACGGTGAGTTTTATCAGGGTGCAGGGGCAGCTGGCGCTTGGAGTGCCACCCGTGGTCGCGCAGGCGTGCAGAGTTTTGCGCTCATCGAGAGGTTGAAGAGATATTTTGGCTGCGGAATCTGGGCGGGCAAGCTCTTCTGCATTTGTGTCATTGTCGACTACCTGATCTACCTTGTTTTGGAAATCTTTGCACCCAGATCAAGGATCGACATTTGCAAGGATTGGCCTAAGAAGATGTTCCAAGCAAAACAAGGGACTAGCACGAGGCTTATGGTTGACATTGACGCCGACAAAGGAACATTGCTCAGGAAAAGAAGCTCCAGGTATCGTAAGCCGAAAAGAGAACAGCTGGAGGATAGTTGAGAGAAGACATCATCAATCAAGGAAGATCAATATAATGCGGAAAGGCTTTTGTGATTTAATATTACGATTACTGTCGCCCAGCTCTGAGCTCGACAGAGATCGTGAGAAAGGTAGTGCTATCTACTAAAGCCCGCAGGCTTGTATGCTATACCGGAACGCTGAACCGGTACTCCGTGCCCAAAACGCCGATGAAAATGCTCTGTACATGGAAAAGGAGGAGGGAGAAAACCGACAACAGCAGCTATACTGTTGTTGCTTATCCGTAGAACCAGTACTGCGCACTATATTCGACGGTAAAGCTACCCTCGATGCCACTGCAGTCCTTGGGTGCCACGCCTCCAGCGGTGTGTATCCGGTAGACTTCGTTGTAAGCCCAGGGCTCAGCGCCTTCGCTGGTGGCAGTGGCGTTCAACTTCAACCATGGGACGCTACCCAGCCCGTTGGTGCCCTTGGTGGCGGCCTGGGGTGCGGCGCTCTTGCTATTGACTGTGCACTCGATACGGCCGTAGTTGACTCTGTCGGTCTCAAGCATGAAGAGAGGGACACCGGCGGCGGTGAACTGGTGGTGACCTGATAGTCGCTGGTCTGCTTCGGCGGAATTGGGGATGGCGTAGTTCAGTGCGAGAGTGGTTACTTCGGCGAGAGTATTCACGTTGAGACGGGCGGCATCGCAGGTTGCGTTGAAGAGCGTAGCTACCGCGCCCACAGCTTTGGGTACATCGGAAGAAGAAGATGAAGCGCAGGTGTAGTTTTGGGTGCCGCGACCAATAGCGATATGGCGGAGAATAGTGCCTTGTGCTGGGGCACCGAGGGGTGTGGGTGCTACTTGTTGTTAGCATCTGTTGGTCATGCGTTGATGCAAGGATTTGGACAGGCACATACCAGCGGGAAGAGCAACATTCGACAAATCACATAGCGAGTCAGTCTTCCTCAACTCCTCGTACACAACCGCAGGCAGCTCCGTCAGATCCTGTCTCGGGATGAGTGCCGCTATCGAGTCGACAGTCTGTGTAGGAGCAGCGAAGAGAGTAACAGGGGCAAGAGCCAAGACAATACTGAGAGTGGTAGGGAAGATCATGTTCGGTTATCGACTTGTGTTGCCTTGAGGTAATATAGATCGAGTGCTTGGTATCGATTGCCGAGTGTTGGATGCTCTGTGATGTCGATCCAGTGGATGAGACGACGGTGATGTTATATCACGAATTCACAAGTGTGAAACGGATGTAGGCCTTGCCGGTATTGCTGAGATGCGTGCGATCTTTTCTCGGAATAGAGTATCGGTAAGGGGTGCTGATCTATTACAAGACCTTGTCGGAAGCGAAGCGGGGCGTGATGTAAGAAAGTAACACGTCGAGGCGAAATGAGAATTTGGTGAGACGAAAGTAAACAACAACACCCTATTCTAGGAAAGAGCCCCAAAGTCAAGGAAAGCGCGAAAGTGGATGTGTTTGTTTGCCGAGGGAGGAGCGTAGGAAGGCGCGTTGGTGAATGAGGAAATCGTGAACGAGGCCGTCTATGCCATGTTCCTATATACAAATGGCAGCCACACGTTGCAAGCACACGACAGCCAACTTTTCTTTCCCCAGCGCGTAGTCCCGCTCCACACAGATCCTACGTTTCCTTGTACACGAAGCCGATCAACCGTTACCGCCTGGCCCACTTGCCCAACCAGACCACGTCGCTCGCTAATGTAGAAAAAGACCCCAAATATAGCCAGCCGGGGTACCATTGGCTGACAGCAAACGAAGGATGAGGCGACGAAGGTGCATGCGCTGTGGTTCGCTCGACTACCGAGCCGCCTAATGGTCGAACTGACGGCCACTATACCTTATCTGTGTTTGGCGTAAACGCCCATGGGGTTCGCTGGCGAGATGGCTATTTTGGGGGCTGGATGAGAGGGGAGGTTGGTAAAAGTTCGAAAGTGAGGTTATGTGCATTAAGGTTCTGATGCGAGATGCTACATGAATATGCGAGGCTGCTGATGAGGGTTTGTTATTGAGGCTGTGTGAATGTTTAGATAGATACTTGATGATGGCTCTTCAAGTAAGTAAGCCGGATGCCGCCCTCCTGCGCAAGTGAGTAAACCTCACAAAGCATTCCCTCAACCCAAATCACGATCCCCCCTCTCAGCAATACGTGTGTATCGAAAATAGCACAAAAGAGACATTCTCTACCATACCGCGCAAGACACAGGAACATCTACACCGACCAAGCCCGGCAACCGCTCCCTCCACACCAAGTCCTTGCAATTCTCTTCCCTTGGTTCTGAATCCCCACCACCCGCAGAGCCGCCCGTCCTACACGCAATCTCAGCTGCCAAAGTACCCATGTACTCGGTGAACCTACCTTTCAAGCCATATCGTCTACCAACCCTAATGTAGAAGGTACCTCCCCCAGAAAAAGATCACAAATCCACCAAAATGACTATTAATACAAACTACATCGAGCAAAGAAACGACAGCTAATATCACCCCCTCAGGTACCCACAGTGTGCGGCCAATAACATGCGAGAGCAGGGAAGGGCGCCTCGAACGTTGTTTTCGCCGGCGCTTCGCTATTGGTAGGGGAGGCCGCAAAATGGGTTTCCGGGATCATCTTCTTGCTTTAGCCTATCGACCCGCTGGCTGGCTGGGGATGTCAATGTCGTGCAGGTTGAACTTGTTTGATGTTCCGCACTTGCATGCCTTATTTTCGTTCCCATGATGAGTTCATTGGATGAGGATTGCCCAGGGTGATTTATCGGCTAGAAGAGATGAGGAAGGAATGAGAGGATGAGGCGTGTCGCCATCTGAACTGGCAGATGTCCATACAGAAGTACTGATATCGCGAGACACCATACATAACCATGGAACTTCCTTCGCGCTTGTAGAAAGGTCTGGTATTCTTGGGGTGTATGGTTCGATTTTTTTGCCGTCTCTCCAGCCTTCGTTTCTTGCTTAGGTGAGCGTCAATATGGGGACCAAGGAATCATGCCTATGGTATCTACGTGATGATTCGCTACGTGGAATATCAAACAGCCGCCGGGTGGTCAAGGAACAGATGTACTGCGATATCGAACAGGATACACAGCAGCGACTTGAATGTGTGGTAGACTCAAAACCAGGTTTCTGAGATTTGGTATTAGTGTCGCTTGTTGTAAGTACATATTTGGCACGTGTCTTGATCTCGTTGATGCGTACGAAGGAGCTCGTCGGTCTGAGTCGTACCTATGTGCCGGAGCTGGTATCCTTGGGTATACACTTGTAATGTTTTAAAAGTGTGACCACTAGAACCACAACGAATGCCTTGGCTAAGAAGCAACTCAGTTTTTCCGAGTTTTCCCCTGATGCTTAAAGTGTATCCTATCACCTAGCTGATTCAACACAAGCGACGACGGGTCCGTCGTGATCACCGTACATCATGCTAATACTAAAGCAAATTGAACAAGTATCTCGGTTTCATTGCAAGTACCAGGGCGTGTGACATGGCCAACACGCTGCAGCTATTCTGAAATAGTAACGCCCACACGCTCAAAAACACCATAATAGTACACTCCCGCCGACGCTGAATCTTAGCCAGTTCTTAACCCGTTATGACGTTCCTTTGTCCTCGTTATGCCACACCCCTGGATCCTCTGGCCCAGGAACAGGCCCTCCAGGTACGCTTGGTCCAGCAACAACCGCCGCGCCTGCGCTCGCTTCGAAACTGAACAAGAAATAGAACACCATGAAATGCAACGCCAGTAAGTACCCTGCAAAGATATTTCGACTTGTCCGTGTTTGGAGTACGAACTTGGTGACCCGCAGGATCATACGTTCGAAGAGGTGCATGCGCTTCATAGCCCTTGCGCTTTCGCGACCTCGGAACGCGGCGAAGGGACTAAGATTAGATTCATAGGCTGAGCGGTACTTGGTATCAACCGCCGAACCTCCCCCTTCGCCAATGTTGATGGCGGAGGGATTAGGGTTTGCAGCGTAACTCGAGGCGCTGGATGCTGGCCCACGGTTGACCGCATTGTAACTACTTACATACCTCGTCTTCTCATACAAGTCCAGATTGTCCTTTTGCAGCGCGCCAATCTCACTTCGCAGTGATGAGACGGTTTGGTAGGACTTTTGAAGCTCAGCCTCAAGCTCAGAGTTGCGCTTCTTGAAGCGATCGCGTTGGGCAGTGACCATGGGTAGGATACCAGAGCCGCCTCCCATGGGCTCGCCACCACTGCCTCCAGCGCGTAGAGACGCTAACGTTGGGGCTTGCGACGAGTTGTCGAAGCCGGAGATAATGGAGGATGTGGGTGATGAGCGGCCTCGTCGACCTCCAGCAAAGGAGGATTGCGGGTGGCGCGATACATAAGTTCCTGCGACTGACATGCCAGATGGGTCAAAGGCATTTGTAGCTTCTTGCTGGACTTTCTCGAGATCAGCCTCCAATGTCTCGTTGAGTTGTCGTGACTTTTCCAAATCCATGTTTGTGTTAGAGAGCTCTTCTTGCAGAGCTTCAAGCCTGGTCTGAAGATCTTGGTGTGAGACACGCATGACGGTGAGCTCATTGCTGAGCTTCTTGTTGCGAGCAAGTAGGAGCTGTTCTAATGTTTCGCCTTTGCCTTTGCCAGATGCGCTGTTTTGTGAGAGTGCGATCTCGGTAGCTTCGTCGTCATCGTCGCCTGTCGCGAACTCGATTGACTAACACAAATCAGCTGGGGCTTGAGAAGTACCGTTGGAAAAGCATACCTTCAACACTTCTAATTCTTGTTTCACATTTTCGTAATCGCTCCATTTCTGGACTTTATCGCGAAGGGCTTCCTTCTCGCTCCTGAGCGACTTGATCTCCCGTTCCAAGCTTCTCGTCTCAGTTTCAAGCCTCGTTCGTTCGGAGTCTTTTTCGAAGCGCGCATTCTCAAGCTTCCGTAGGAGGGATGAGTTCTCGGAACGTAACCGCAGGAAAGCAGGGTCGTCTTCAACAGCAACCTGCTGTGATGGTGCGGATGCAGACTGGGCTAATTCGAGGCGTAACTGCTCGTTTCGTGCCGTGATTTCGGCCAGTCGATGACTTGTTCGCTCGAGCTCTGAGCTGACGATCTCGAGCTCCGCAGCAGTAGCGCCCCGACCGCCTTCTTCCTCAGTCGCTTCTCCCTGGCCAAGTCGCTGTGAGACCTCGTAACTGGCCTTGAGCTCCTTCAACAGCCGATCCTGGTTTTCAACCTTCTCTTCTAGACTCTTCTCCTTTGAAGCCCAGTTGTCTTGCTTCTCATTCAGCACAGCCGACCATGACGCTTCCACATCCCTGATCTTGCTGTCTCGGCTATCCTCGAGTGTCTTCCTCGCTGTCCGTTCCTGTTCCAACTTTTTGTCAGACTCATCAAGCTGTGTTGTAAGACTCGCTACCGTCTTCTGCAGGCGCTCGTTCTCGGACGTGAGCTTCGGCACAAGCTCTTCGGAGGTTACGAGTGAGTCTACGGAGGCCTCGAGGAGAGGGTAAGGGTCGGGTGCTTCAGAGAGCGGCGAGTAGACTTGGAAGAAGGCAGCCTGTACGGTCTTTGACTGGTTGGAAATGAGATCAATGAAGTTCTGGTATGCTAGGAATCTGGCTTAGCAGAGTTCAGTCAGCTGCGCGCAGTGACACTTACACTTCAAGAGACCTTTGATGTCGCTGAGCTTGCTGGCATCGTCAAGTTTCCGGAAGTCTTTGGTCTTCTGCGCGAGGTCTTTTCTTTGCGTAAGAGTGTCTCTTTGGTGTGCGACGAGGTCTGAGGCTACGGTATCGAGTTGCGGAATGAGCGTCGTGAGATCGATGTCTGGCGCCTTGTTAGCTTTTCCCCACGATGTTTGTCGTAGACATTCGTACTCCTCCACGCGCCAATAGCCCTTTGGAACTTGTTTTCCTCTTCTTGCTCCGCTTCTGCGACAGCCTCTTGCCGCTCAGAGTTTGGTGGTGTCTCGACTCTCTCGTCCATGTCTACTCCGCCCTCCATTGTTGCGCTTCGGTCGCGACCTGTGGGTAAGAGAGAGACGTGGAATTGGGACCCGAAAGGACTGTTAGCTATTGCAGCTCTGGTCAAGCCTACTTGAGTATGCCTTCACGGCGCGTTTGAAATCATGGACCGGTGTTGGTTACGTATGCACGCAGCTTCCCGTGAAACCGCGGAAGGTGCGGCGTTAGGCGGCCCTAATTGGTGGGCTGCGGCAATTGATAGCTCACCAGGCACCACGAGCGCATTCAACCATCCACCATGCGCGTCTCTTACATATCGCTGCCATAGCCAGTCATGGCGCGTGTGATGGTCAACAACAATGGCAGAAGCATCTTCCCTATCGCAGCGACCGCCTCCGCTCGATGGTCCCTACATCCTCCGCAAGCTTGTCGCAAGCCTACCGCTGTCTGCTGACGGCCCCTCTACTGACGCGCGCATCACATGTGTGGAAGTCTGGAGTATGTACGCGTCTTTCCATATGTGCACCATTCCGGGTACTGACGCATTTAGACGGTAACCTCTATGTTGGTACATCCGCCGCTGAGATCATCCACTTTGTCCTACTACCACCGGAAACCGACGACCCTTCCGAAGAGCCTACTGCCATTATCGCCTCTAGATTGGAACCGCCACACAACGACAACAACGGGCCTGGTGTGCAGCAGATCCTGTTGCTTCCCAAGATCAGCAAGGCCTGCGTATTGTGTAACAACACCCTCTCCATATACTCGCTACCCGAGCTGAGCCCAGACTCGACATTCAAACCAATCGGTTGTCTTTGGGTTGGAGGTGTGGACTTGAACGAGGACATCGATGGGTCTGCAGAGGATGGTGTAGTCGTCGTCATCGGCCTGAAGAAGCGGTTGCGACTGGTGCAGATAGCTGAAAACTCCCCCCCGAAAGCGATCAAGGCAATCGAATATGGAGGCTGCCTTGTCTCCGTGCGCCGAGATACCTTCTCATGCGCTGCCGACGCCCACTCGTATGCCCTTCTGGATGTCGTACACCAACAGAAGATAGGCCTGTTCCCAATCTCATCCTTGGACCCAGATGCCAGCGATGTCGGCGGAGCTGCCGAGCATTTAGCAACCGTACCTAGTGCACCCTCTAGAAGTGTCTCTTCTGCAAGTCCACATCCACGAGGTCCAGACGAGCAGCGTGGCCACGCTCGAAGTACCAGTTTAAACGTGCTTGGGCTGGGCGGTCCTTCTAGAACAGCAAGTCCACGGCCTCCGACGCAGCGATATGGATTCGACGTGCCAGAGTCATTGTCTAGGGATGTGTCACCAGCCCCAGCACGTTCCTCTGCACAAGCGTCTATGGGAGGTGAGCAATCTGAGAGATCATCTAGTCATCCTCGTGCCGGTGCAACCTCACCCGACAAACCTCTACCACCATCTCCCCCAGGAGAAAATAGGTTACAAGCTGAGGAGCCTGCGCTACCACAACCGCCGCCGTTCACTCCCTTGAAGCCTCACGTCGCATCACCAAACCCAAACGAGTTCCTGTTGACGGTCGGCACAACACCTTCTGATCAAGGAGTAGGCATGTTTGTCAATCTGGATGGGGATATGTGCAGAGGTAGCATTCAGTTCAGTAGTTATCCTGATGCCATCGCCGTCGACGGGTCAGGGATGGACTTCTCGGCATCTCTCAGTCCAGACATGAACGCCGAAGAAGGCTACGTGCTGGCCGTTGTGCACCGAGAGATCGAGGGCGATACTGCCTTTGGTGTTGAGATCCAGCGATGGGATGTAGACCCAAGTGCTGGAGAAGTTGAAAAGTACTGGCTCGACTTGAGCCCTTTCGGTTTGCCAGTTCACAGCAAAGGCTCCCACATATCGACGCCTATAGGTATGCGCACCGTAGTGCAGCCTTACAACCTCGTGATTCCAGAAGTGGGCGCAAAACTAATCGTTCGGAAACTGCAAATTGCTTCGTCCAGAGAAGTAGCAGGAGAGGCCACACTAGTTGCGAAAAGCCAAACAACAGCCGATCGCGAATTTGCAGAGCGTCTGTCCAAGCTACAGTCACAGACTGTCGTCTGGGCTGGTGACCAAATATGGTGGACGGTACGCAACCCATTGGTGACCCGGTTGGATTCTCGAATTGAGGCTGCACAGTATGCGCTGGTCGGAAACGTGGCACGCATTCAGCCGGATAGGGGGACCATAGAAACGATTTTGGGCGACATTCGAGGACAGGAACCGCGCAACGAGTCCGAATATCTCAGTCTCATATACATTCGTCAAAAGGCCTCGCTTATGCTTTTCATGGACGTGGTCCTGCGTACGAAGGCCAACATCATCATATTTGAGAACGAGAAGCGCATCACAGAACAAGCGCTCATCGAGGGCGAGATAGATCCGCGAGTTGTCTTGAGCCTGATGCCGATTCTCTGTCAAGAAGTCGTCCAGGGGTCAGACGGCATACAGATTTACGGCGGCATCACAACGTTAGTGGAACATTTCTTGCAACAGAATGACCTCGCAACCATGTCGACAAACGTCAACGGCCCTTTTGGTGACAATTTATTGCACTTCGTAAAACGCTATCTTCAGTTTTGGAGAAGACGCAAAGGAATGGCAAGTGTGACTAACGACCCCTCAGTGTTCAGGACTGTCGATGCGGCGCTGCTCCACATCCTTCTTCTCTTGGATCAAGGCAGCCCAAAAGGTACTTCCAGTCCAGGCGCTCAACGAGCAGAACTCTATGACCTAGTAGATAAGGAGGTAGAGTGTTTCGACCGTGCTGTTGAATTGCTAGAGCAGTTCAAGCGTCTCTTCCTACTCAGTCGCTTATACCAGGGCAACTGCAAGGCTTCCGTCAAGGCGTCCCACGTGCTGGCGACCTGGAAACGAATTCTGGAAGGCGAAGAAGACAGGGGAGGTGAACTTGTAGATGGCGAACAGAAGGTGCGCGACTATCTACGCAAGATTCGGGACCAGGCACTTGTAGAAGAATACGGCGCGTGGTTAGCAAATCGGAACCCCAAACTTGGTGTACAGGTATTCGCCGATGATCAGAGTAGAGTCAAGTTTGATCCTACCCGAGCTGTTCCTTTGCTGAGAGACAAAGCGCCAGGCGCGGTCAAAGACTACCTGGAGTATCTTGTCTTCGGCCAAAAAAAGGTACGCCTATGGACATAGTTTGGTGGCTTCTACTGACACTGGCTACAGCATCCTCAGTATGTGAATGAACTCATCGCTTTCTATCTCGATAGCGTCATCACAGAGCTTGAAAAAAACATCGAATCGCGAGCGACGCTATCGCAAAGCTACGAAACATACCGTATCCTGGAGCCGCCCAAACCAACATACTTCTCCTTCATAAGCGACAATGCTCTTGGTGCAGATTGGTGGCATGCGCGTATCCGCTTGCTCCAGCTACTAAGTGAGACATCGTCTTACGATGTGAACACTGTTTTGTCACGCCTGCGGCCATATAAGCAAGAGCTGGTCTCCGAGATGATCATCTTAAATGGTCGACAAGAACGACACGAGGAAGCGTTGAAATTACTCACCCATGGTCTTGGGGACTATAACACTGCTATAAGCTATTGTCTGTACGGTTACGCCTCGATACATCGACGTGCTACGCCTGGCGCACCCCCCGTTTCACATAGTCAGATACCCACTCGTCCCGAGCAGTCACGCATGTTTGGACACCTCCTGAAAGAATTCTTGACCATCGAGGACCTTTCACAGCGTGTTGAGCGCACAAGTGAACTTCTCGAACGCTTTGGAGGCTGGCTTGATGTCGCCGATGTGTTGGCAATCGTGCCGGACGACTGGTCAGTAGATGTGTTTTCTGGATTCCTGATACAGACACTACGGAAGCTAGTGAGAGATAAGGCAGAAAGTGACATTGTGAGAGCTCTCAGCGATGCGCAGAATAGTCAGATGAGCAGCGAACTAGTGGAGAAAAGAGACAAAGTGGGCGCTGCGTTTGAGAACGCGGATTAGTAGGAAATTTATATATATAATGAAGGCGTAAAATGGGCTGAAGCACACGTAGCAAGCTTGAGTAATCTACTCACTCAACATGGGTGTCGTTATTGATCCCCGAAGTCCACTGCACACGGGGCTCGCGCGTGCCTTACGATAGTCTTGGCATTTTCGTACCCGAAGGCACGAGCAACGCCGGAGTGTAGCCACCAACGCCTATCACTTCGCTTTTAGATTCAATTCAACTTCAATTCAACCCTGTTCCCAGTATATCACCCACAAGTGCTCGGCGTCACGATGCAGCGCCGTATGGTAAGTGCCGACAATTTTTGCATCGTGTTCCGCGATTTGGCGCTAACGGCGGCAGCTCACCAAAGACGAAGAGGCCTCAGCGCAGAGTGAGGACCTTGAGGTGCGTCGTGAGGATCAAGAGAAAATCAACAAGTTCAGTTCGCTGCACCAGAAGGAGGAGATTCTCGAAGAGGAGCTCAGGGCTAAGATTGTATGCTGCCAAACGCCGCCCCTCGTCAGTTTTCAGTCTAACATGAGCGCAGAAGGAGAAGGAAGACTTAGAAGAGATCTCGGGCGAACTCGAGCTCGTCGATGAGGAAGAGAAAGTACCGTAAGTTCTTTATGATCCGCTGTGAAGTGGCCTCTCGTCAGACGTGGTCAGGTATCATGAAACTAACCAGAGCCACAGATACAAAGTGGGCGACTGCTTCGTCTCGTTACCACAACCGCAGGTTCTCGAACTTCTAAGTTCGTCAACAGAGACCATTGACGGCGAAGTAGAAGCACTAAAATCCAAGCTTGAAGGTATCCAGGAAGAGATGGGAGAGTTGAAGAAGGCGCTTTATGGACGCTTTGGACGCAGCATCAACCTTGAAACATAAACAACGCAGAGTTCACGCGCTTCCAGCATATGTTTGCCAACGGGAAACCCATTAGCCATCAGGAATCAATACATATTCAATCCGAAAGTTGTTTTCCGGAATTTGTCAAGTTCGGAATCGGCGTTCCTAATGCTTGCCATCGGACTAGACTGATGCGCAGACAAACGAATGTACATGACTCATTCCAGGCAAGCTTCCAAACAATGTTCCGATCTCCCTTGGAGCCGCGCTTCGGTGGTTACGCCGATACACACCACGCCCTACGGTGCCTAGTTTCCCATGAGCAGCTAAACAATACCCGTCATCCATTCGTAGGTCAAGCCCGACTACTCTGAATTGGGTAGCGATGTGATCGACAACCATGCGTGCAGCCACATCATTATCAATCAAGGGGAATGTGGCACATACTAGAGCACCTCGGATAGCTAACTTAAGTGCGCGGGGTCAGCCGTATCCACCTTAGACCGTAGTCAACTGTATCAATTCCTGGACTCTCATTGTTTTCATAAACTTGTATGTTGTCTTGCTGAGGCTCCAGTGCTGCCAGACAAGTGCGTCATTCGGTCAACCACTATGGAGAGCGCCGATCTGGAAAGAACTTATTCCCGAGAACAGCAGGGCTTAGGTCCGGGGCACGAGGCTATCACATCGCCGGTCGCTCTTGTTCGGAGTTTTACATCAAAGAGTCAGAAGAGTTCAACAAGTCGACAAAGCTCAAGGAATCGCAGTACGCATATTATCTGACTGTGATGTTGGGGCTGCTTTTCACTAACGGGTCACCATAGCCGGTGTAGAAAGCTCACGTGCTGCGCGGCTGAGGGAACTTGAAAAAAATGCCGACGACCTTTCTGATTCTGACAAAGAAGATGCGATCGAGAAAGTTGCGTCACGAACACCCTCAACGCTGAGTTTGCCTGGAAGGTCGAATGCTTCGTCGGTGACGTCGAGTGCTCACAATGGCTATGCAAGTAGGCGACATATCATTCGCTTTGAAGATGGAGATCCCGAGAACCCTAATAACTGGGGTCGCGTGAGTTGCTGCGTTCGTAAAGGAACTGACACGAAGCTAATGAGCAATGCAGTGGAAGAAGATCTACGCCCTTATTGTCGCCATTATGAGTGGTAAGTATACCAATCCACCTTTAGCAGCCAAGCACCTGACCACTAAGTAGTCATGAACAGTACCATGACGTCGAGCCTGGCAGCCGGTGCTGCAGTCCCTATATCTCGTCATTTCAACGAATACAACGAGTATAAGCTCATTTTGCCAACGTCAATGTACCTTGTCGGCTATGCATGCGGTCCTATGCTTTGGGGTCCGCTCTCGGAATCGTACGGCCGCAAGGGAACAATGGTAATTTCTTTCGCCTTTTTTACAATCTTTTCGATCGCTTCAGCGCTTGCGCCAAACTTCGCGGCGCTAGTCATCTTCAGGCTGCTAGTAGGCGTGGGAGGTAGTTGTGCCATCAGCGTTGTGGGTGGCATATGCGCGGATATATATCACAATCCCAAGTATCGTGGTAGGAGTATGGCTATTTTCATGGTGAGTTTCTTCAACTAGCAACATATAACATATTCTGACCTCGTATACCAGGCTGCGACAACTTTTGGCCCTATTCTAGGTCCTTTAGTCTCAGGCTACATCGCCGTTGTCTCCTGGAGCTGGGCCTTCTGGGTCGGAGCCATCTTCGCCGGTGCAACATGGCCGCTCTTCTACTTCTTCGACGAAACTTACGGCCCAACAATCTTGAAGCGGCGAGCTCAAAGATTACGCAAAGAAACACGCGATGAGAGTATTATAGCGCCGCTGGAGCTAGAGAAGACAGATTTGAACCACATCATCACGGTAATCTTGACAAGACCATTACGCATGATCTGCTTCGAGCCTCTGGTACTCTTCACTTGCCTGTATCTAAGCTATGCATGTAAGCCAAGGCACTTACCTATACATGAGGACGGCGTTGTGCTAATGCCTACTTCCCAGATGCCATATTCTACATCTTCCTACAATCTTACCCAATCATCTTCCAAGGCATATATCACTTCAACGCAGGCGAAACCGGCCTCGCATTCCTCCCCATCGGCGTTGGCGCAATCATCTCCGCTGGTATCTATTTATCCTGGGATTGGTACCTGGCACGCGCCCAACGTCTAAACCGTCCTTGGTCGCAGAATGAAGAAATGCGTCGTCTACCTTTAGCATGTATAGCCGGCCCGTTCTTTGTCATCAGTGCGTTTTGGCTAGGCTGGACGAGCCGAGAAGGCATACACTGGATCGTTCCTACTCTCGCTGGCATCTTGTTCGGTATGGGGTACTTGTGTCTTTTTATGGCGTTACTCAACTACCTCGTTGACGCATACGAAGTTTTCGCTGCAAGTGCCATGGCCGCCGCCTCACTATCCCGGTCTTCTTTTGGTGCTGTGTTGCCCTTTGCTGCCAAGCCAATGTATAGGGCTATGGATGTGGCTTGGGCAACCAGCTTACTAGGCTTCTTCAGTCTGGCGCTCTGTGTTGTGCCGTTTGTGTTTGTGACGTGGGGTGGTAGGATGCGGGACCGAAGTAAGTTTTGTCAGTATCTGAGGCAGAAAAAGAGAGAAGAGGAGGATGAGAGGGAGAAAGAGAGGGAGAAAGAGAGGGCGGCATTGAGGGCCTGCGAGATCAAAGCTAAGACGAATAAGTTCAAGGAAAAGGAAGATGTATAGGCTATGATTGGATGATGACGTTTGCATGCTACACACTGCAGATCAGTAAACCATGGCAGCAGGCTGTGGACGCCCCTAATGCTATGCTTAGAGACTACCCGGCGAGAATCCCCTTCGGTTCTCAAGTGTCAATTTATCTACATAACTATGCAGGAGAGTGTTATGCCACTGTCCTCTCCCCTTATTCTGTATATTAAACACTGGCCACTGTTAATCACAAAGGTTTCTTCGTTCTCTGGCTCCAAAACGCGACAGGATGAAGCGAAACACTATTCAGCCAATCGTCAAAGAGCATTTTGTGTGCTCTAACATCTTAACGATCGAGTCTCCTCAACGAAATATATTCCGAGTCAGGGTAAGTAACAGTAGCAAAAGACACCGCAAACCGAGTGCCAATATCACCACCATAATCACAGGAATCATCGCTGCGACCGTCCCAGTGTACCAGGTCTGTCCCATCCTTACTATAAAGCCTACGACACCAGAACAGAACGATAACATGGCTGCGAATCTCACTGTCAAGATCTTTGGGACGTCCCAGCCAGTAAGATCGTGCCCGCGCGCTTGTGGCAGATGACCTATTCCTCGAGGATGGGGATTAAGTAGGTGATGGACCAGTAACTGATGACATCACCCTTATTACAGATAATCATTGAGGGTGTTGTATCGTGTACAAGCAACTACACTATAAGAAATATCAGCTGGAAGCCATGATGAGTGAAGCGATTGTTAAGGGACCTATATCAGCACGACGACACTAATGAATTTGTGAATAAAGCTCGATAGCTTCGCGGGCCATGTAACAAACAGTTGCACCGGATTGCCGACCAAATACAAGCTGAAGACATGGTTACTCATCATGCTGATTGCTAATACGAAGAGGAAGGAGTATTCAACGCTTCCGACCGCTTGTAGCACGTGTTCGAGCAAGGCGGCAGATATTCATTGCTATCGGCAAACCCAGCAGCCCACTCAGTACTCGACCATAACGGACGCGAATCCATCAGCGCAGGTTATGGCAAAAGCTGAAAATATCTAGAGTCCCGAAGCGGCAATGATGAGCATTTCCCATGACGGTGTCTTCACGGGAAAGTAAACGAAGTAATCGGCTGAGACGGCCACCTAGCCTGAGCCGCAACTGGAAGCTATGCCAGCAAACGAAAGCTCGAGACCAGCTTACTTAGCTCTAGATTTGGCGACAGGAGAAGCTATGTTGGTGAGACTTGGAGCTCTGGCGGCGTAAAGGTTGATGCAAACATAGATCCACTCAGTATGTGGCTCCAACAAAGCTCGTTCTTCGACACTATGAACGGACAGCAACGCGTGATGTTTCTGCAACATTACCTCAAGCAGCGAGTCTCGAAAAAATACCTGCAATTGATCTCGCAGCTATCAGCGGCTTCCTATAGTATCGTCAAACCATCGCTGCCGAATTCAAAGGAGCCGCTACAGCCTCTAGCTACTTCTGCGTCTCAAATCATGGTATCAATGATGCCAATATTGAGGAAACTACTACGAAGTGCCGCTTGTTTGCCAACACACCTGGATATGCTCCATCATCTCTATTCCGGCTAGCATGCAATAGCTCCTTTTATACTCAACCCAAAGAACTGAAACATGCCATTCGGGTCGCCCTCTCGACCAACTACAACGGTTACTCAGCCACCATTCAGGTCACGTTTGATTTATTGAGAGCGTTGAAAAAATGGAGTCATTACGATGGTGTTACGATCTGAGTTACGACCCCACACGTTCCGCGTCGTCGTTACCATCAATTCCAAACGGGATTCTTATAGGGACGTGGGGAGAGAAATTTTTATGGGAAGGAACGAAGCAAATTCCTCACTTCAAACACGCGTTAATGGACTACTGGTAAGAACTTCTTGCGCTCGCACGCTGTTACATTTCCATCTTGCACTTGCGCTCGATTTGGATGAGCATTACTTTGACCGTCTGGTCACCTGTCCTGGCGCTGGAGGCGATACAAATTTTACCCTGGCAAAAAATTGATTAGTGGCTTACAAATGCTGACCCGACATGAAGAGTAGTTCAAAGTGATACCCATTCCTGGCACGTTTGTGGTCAGCATCGGAGACTTCCTCCAACTTGCAAGCAACGACTGGTTCGCGAGCACGGTGCAGAAATTGTTTTCGAGATTTTAAGATGATCGCATCAGTATATCTTTCTTCTTTGGCTCCAACTGCAACGAAAGAGTTAGAGCATTGGACAGCTATATCAGTAATGGGGAGATAGCCAAGTACGAGCCCATGAGTTCTGTGGAGGTATGATTAGATCGTCTTTCATATATAGTTCGTGCGAACATGCTACTTAGTGGTTGCAAACTGGTTTCAGTCAATCGGATACAAGGAAAGATGACTAGAAAAAGGCTATCGGGGATGTTCAGGCCGCGAACTCCGCGCACGGCATTTGGAAAAACGCTTGTGTTCCTACGGGACTTAAAAGTCCGCATGGAATACACATTGTGGAAGATGTTAGGTTATGCTGTCGTGGGATCCCAGAAACCTAAGATTCAATTTCTGTGACGGTGTTAAGATAGAGGGGAGGACTGCGCTGAATTGACTATCTGAGGTGGGCTAAGCTACATATATAGATGACCGTACATGAGCTATCCTAACTCGTACTAGAGTTGATCTGGGCAAGGCCCAAACCGTTACACTCCCCCCCAGCTGCCGTGATCAACAAAGCTGGCTAGTACCACTGCCGTAGCTCTGCCGGTTCTGGTGAATTGTCATGAGTAGTAAGGAGCTGGCGAACGTTTTCAAGCCCAAGCTGCCTCACAAACTCAGCGTGTTTCTGCCTCACGAGGGACTTTGTAAGTCCGTCTGCAGGCATCTCTGCTGTAGGGCACCACTCTACATTGAGTCGTCCCTCCTGTACCTCCTGTCTTACCCACATCTGATGGGTGTCTACATGCCTTAGCTTCGTGTGGAGCCGTTCGTCTTCCTTCTTAACGATCCCGACCGTCTGCTCATTGTCGCAGTAGATCGTCGGTTGGATCTCTGGGTTAAACTTGATGTGCTGGAAAACGCGGGTCCACCACTCCATTTCTCCTCCGGTTGTTGATAGAGCTATCAACTCAGCCTCAGTTGTCGACTTCGTAACTGATTTCTGTCGGGTAGCCTTCCAGTCAATAGGCATCCCGTACAGCTTGGACAAGTATCCATGAGACGATCGACGACTTTCCACATCATCAGCAAATGCTGCATCAGATGCTCCGTAGAAGAGAGACTTGTCCCAGACGTAGGACGAGCTCTCCGCTATCTTCTGGCTAGCTCTGATCGCCAGGTGTTTGCTTCCGTACAGGTATCTCCATACATGCTTTACCGCTGATATGTGTTTCTGACTAGGGTTCTGGAGATGCTGAGCCAATACGGAGTGTGCTCGTGATACATCAGGCCTCGTAAATGTCGAGATGTACGCCAGCGATCCGACCAACTGCTGATACAGCTGCGTACGCTGGTGATCCGTCTCCTCTTCGGACTGAGCCAGAGAGTTCTCTACGAGCGGAACTGCTGGGTATCTCCCCCCTGACTTCTGATCTAAGTCAAAATTGTTGACTACCTTCTCAATAAATGAGTCCTGGATCAGCCAGATCGTTCCTGCTGTCCAGTCTCTCAGAACTCTGATCCCGAGGAACCACTTAAGCTCTCCAAGCTTCCTTAGGTCGTACACGGCTTCGAGTTCTCTCTCAAATAGCCGGTGATTATCCAGGTAATCCGGATGTACCAGTACGACGATATCATCCACATAGAAGAAGACTATTAGTCTCTCGTTAGTGAACAGGCAAGGAACGTCCTTAACTGGTCTCAGACCCAGCTTCATTATCGTCTCTTTCAGGTGCTTGTACCAGAGAAGAGGCGCGTCCTTTAGCCCATACAGAGCTCTCTTGAGCTCGAGTATCTTGCCGAGCTCTTCCACGTACGGGTCTGGAGTCTGTACGTAGAATGTCTTGTCGAGATGTGCGTTCAAAAACGCGTTCAGTACATCATACTGATATGCTTTTAGGCCAAAGGCTGCTGCGAGGGCCATGAGGAACCGGAACACTCGTGCAGCCAGCGTGGCCGCGTACGTGTCGCCCCAGTCCTCCTGGAGATCTCCTCTCACAACGAGCCGAGCCTTGAACTTGTACAAAAGTCCGTCTTCATCGAACTTGTACGAGAATACCCACATCAGGGGTAGTATCTGGCTGTGCCCATGGCTGTCAGCCTCTGTGACCGACGTAGTCCTGAAGCAACCCTTCTCTTGACAGCTCTTGAACTCTTCCCCTGCTGCTGCTTTGAATTCCTTTCCAAAAGGATGCTTCTCTAGGTCTCTCCATCTCTTCGGCGGAGGCGGAAGCTGATCTCTATGCATCCGCGATTTCTGCAGTTCTGCTGGCTGCAATGCTGCAGCAAATGCAACAAAGTATGTGCCCAGCGTCTTTCTTTGTCGCTTCCCAGTCAGCACATTTGACGAGCTAAGCTGACTGCTGATCTCCTCACGCCTTGGAGCATTATTCAACCGTCGATCTGGCGCTTCTGCGTCGCTTGGTATTGGCTCCCAGCCTCTAGGCAAGTCAATAGCGTCCGGATTACTTTCCGGCTCAATTTCGGGCTCCGGATCCAGGTCTAGCGCATCTTGCCAAAATGTCGGTTCAGGAGTGTTCTCAGGCGTTGGCAATTCTCCAGAAGTATGCTTGGATAGATCTGCTCGCTTATGATGCTGGACTGATATCTGACCCTCCCGTGCTGTCTGTAGGAGCAGCTGGATCTCATAGTCAGTCTCCTCAGGTGGTTCTGGAACGTCCAGAATTGTCACCACCTCTTTTAGAGTCTGTCGGTCTGGATAGACTGGTTCTGTCCCATCGTGAGACAGAAAGACGACGTCTCTCGTTCTAAGAACTCGTCCTAATGCTGGCATCCATACTCGGTATATGTTCGTGGAGTCATATCCGACCAGCTGTCCGATCAGCGCGCGAGATTCGAGCTTCTCTCCACGCTTCAGCTTGTTGTTCAGCACGTAAGCTCGGGCTCCCACAATATTAAGGTGAGCTGCCAACGGCTTCTGTCCACGTACAACCTCGTATGGCGTTCTCCATCCTAGCGCTTCTGTGGGCGTCCTGTTAAGCAAGTAGACTGCTACAAGACAACACTCATTCGAGAGTTCTATCGGCAGTCGTCCATCAATTCTGATCGCTCTCGCTCGGATCACGATTATCTTCCTAGCCTGTTCTAAAAGGCCGTTTTGTTCTTCTGTATACTCCGCTCGAGGTTCTACGATAATGCCAAGATCTCTAAGCACGTGCAGCAACTCGCTGTATCCGCGCTCACTGTCGAGCCTCACGACTGAAACTTAAGCGCCGAACTGTCTTCTGATCTTTGCTAGCAGGCGCATAACTGTGGATTTGAGGGTAGCTGAGCTCTTGTTGGGTAGACATGCAGCCTCATGCCACTTACTGTACAGACATACCGCATGTAGCATCCACAGATCTCCATTGTAGCAGCGCTTATTTCTTTCTCTTAGCTGCACTAGGTCTATTCCTATGCGATAGAAAGGACTAGCAGCTGGCTCACTTTGAGCTCTCCTGCTTATAAACTTGTGAAGCTTTGTCTTAATACAGACCTCACAGTCTTTCCACGTTGGAGCGATTAATTGTTCTTCGACATTGATCCTAAGCACGTGATTGTTCAAGTGCCCTACTGCTTTTCGGCCGATATGGCCGAAGATCTGGTGCGCTGTCTCCTGAGTAACGCTAAGGTCCTTTCTTAGTTCTTTTGAGGGCTTAGTATATCGAGTAGCATATACCGAGAGTAGATCTGGCTCGGCTTTCTGATCTTTCTCTACATCGACGAGCCAGTGGCCGTCTCTGTACTGGAGTAGACAGACGACGTTTGAGGCCTTCTTCTGGTACAGACAGTCCCTGCCTGAGTCAAAGTGGATACCGAGAGATCGGCTCCGTGACAGACCAACGACGCTCGTGAAGAAGCCAGGGATGTATGCCACCCACGTCAGCTTCATCTGTCCTTCTCCAGTCGGAGTCTTGATGTGTATGTACGTCTCACCCCACTCTTCGACTTGAGCTAGCACACCACCAGCGTATACACAGTCTGAAGGTCCACCTCTCTTCGTTGTGGTCCAGTCAGCTCCTCTTGTATTCGTGACGTGGCAGTTCGAACCAGGGTCCAGGATCCACCTTGTAAGCAGTGGTGGTGCTGACAACTCTGTCGCTGCTGCTGTCTGCAGTACTGCGTTAACATGAGGTGTATCACCAGCTGGTTGTCCATCGTCCATATTGATCACAGACGCGTTCTTGGACTCAGCTGTTTTCTTCTGCTTCTTGATCTTCTTCTCTACTGCCCTTAGAGCGTTGGCTGTTGCAGACTGGCTGTTCCGGAGTTCCGTAAATTTCTCTTGGACCGATGCGTCAGCCTTCCAGCCCTTTGTCCTGATTGCTTAGTTCACGTAAGGACACTAGTCGAACTTGTAGATTAGATCACAAATACACTTTCGTGTCTAAGCTCCTGGGACACTTCGGTCTGAATGTTGAGTTTGCAGATTATTGCTGCTAGCTGCCTCAAGGGTAGCAAATGTACTAAGGCCTGACGCTATCGGACGAGTGCGTCGATAGTATGACCGAAACTCTGCAATTAAATCTGAGGTCGGCGTGAAATCTTCGCCCTTCTGCTCTTTCTTAACTAGTTCTTGCAGCTGACTGGCTGCCCAGCTATCATCTAGGCCACGGATTGACAGGATAAACTCTTCTTGAGCTCTGTTGCCGGCGATCTCCGGCATGTTGGCTTCAGTGAGGAGTCGGGTGACTGTAACCCACTCATCAAACCAGGTGTCCAGATTAGCCCTCTTCGGCCTCGTGCAGGCCGTCCTGTAACGAGCTCTAAGCTGATAGTTCCTTTCTCCAATTGATGGACAGAGGTGCTTCTTTAGCGTCCTTAGCTGGCTGTATGGATCGGCACAATCAAGGATCAGGTCTAGGTGTTTGACGTCGATCGTCTGTACGATCTCTAGACTCAGGTTGCGGAGAGCCTTCTCCTTCGTGAGCCACCTGGCCTCATCTCGGTCGAATCGTCTAGCCCAGGAGTTGTACGTCGCGAGCTCAGTCGCTGTCAAGTCTGGGATATCGATCTGCTCATCTGGAAGAGGAGTTCTAAACCTCCTCACTTCCAACTCTTTTGGTCTCTCGTCTTCTAGTTTCTTCAGCCTCTCTGGCGAAAGATCTGGATCGACGTATTCCCACAGACTATTCCTGTCTGCGGAGATCTTCCTCGTGAATAGCCATTTCGACCAGTTATCTGGCTCTCTGAGGATAACTGACGACCTCGTCACCACCTGCATATCCTGCTCTTGAGTTGCCATAACTTCTATAGCTGAATTTGCTCCTAGTGTTAAGTGTCGTGTAACGGATGAACGCAGCGATTAATTGAAGGCTTCCGGGCTCATAACTGTGACGGTGTTAAGATAGAGGGGAGGACTGCGCTGAATTAACTATCTGAGGTGGGCTAAGCTACATATATAGATGACCGTACATGAGCTATCCTAACTCGTACTAGAGTTGATCTGGGCAAGGCCCAAACCGTTACAATTTCTCCTAGGTTCATATATTAGGTCAAGTGTCATCATCAAATGGTGCTTGAATTTTGTTTGACGGAGTCACCAGCCTGGGTTGGCCATATTCACGGTTAATCTCTTGTGGCGCAACATGCACGTAAGGCTGGAGTGAGCACTCGGCTACAATAGGTCTGTTGGTGTACAAATCATTAAGATCCAGGATAGCTTCCAGAAGAGCTCGTAGCTCTCAAATCATACCCTTAATATCCTCATGCAGCCTAAGGTCATTCATAAAAAGGTCCAGTCCTATAGTTTTTCGTATAGAGTGGGTACACTAACCCAGAGGTTCTGATTATCATATTAACGCAACCTTTTCTAACTCGCACATCGCGTTTCAATATCATCCGGAAATCTAAAGTGTTTGCCTGTTCCCGCTCCCTACCGATGCGATGGGCTCTCTCTGTCGTATTCTGAAACTCTGTCTTCTCTCTGCTTCCTACACGATAACTGATCTACTGAGCACGAAGCACTTTCCCTAATCGCTGGCTTACTTGGATGTCTTTAGAAAATCATGTTAAGTACGTCAGTAGAACCAGCTGTCGATAGAGAGACGACATCGAAGTTCCTGCTCGAAGAGGTTTCTGTTCAAGAAATGGTCGCGGTGATGGGATTGCTAATCGATCAGATGTGCCTGTAGAAAAAATCAAGTCTTGTCACAGTATCGCGAGGAGTTGCAGGCCAGAAGTATGTTTACCACACTGTCACCACTGTAGGCAGCTGACCAGTGATACAGGACGACTCGGAACCACAATATGCACCTTCAGGTAACTACATTTGACACATTAGTGAATCGAAACATAGGGTATATTCGTGACTTCGTGCCGAGTTTGGCGCCTGCAACTACCTCATAACCGGGGGTCTTGCCTCTTTGTTGAAAGCCATCCTGCTGCATAACCATTCGACCGCCTCCTGTACCCCAGTTCCCGTGAGAGCACTGCACGGAAGTACTCTACTGTCTCTTACATTCCCACCCTTTTCTCCTTCGAACACTCTCCTTACAAAGCCTTCTTTGATTCGCACCACTTCGACGCAATCTTCGCGATCTTGCTTGTTCGCGAGTATCAGTATGGGGACGCCGCTGGTATCTTCGTTGGCTAAGACGCTCTCTAGAACTATCTTGCACTCATCCAGCCGCCCAATGTCCTCTATGCTTGCTGAATTGTTCGCGCTCAAGTCGGCGAGAGTAGCGTTGCCTACATCGCTGCTGTCTATGACAAAGACGATAGCGTGACAGCTGCTGTAGTACGATTGCCAGAGCCCGCGCAAGCTATGTTGGCCGCCAACATCCCAGATCTTGAGGTATATTGGTGGATTTGGAGGAGGAAGGGCGATGGTAGCAACGTTCTGTCCGACCGTAGGAACTGTCTTGAGGTTGGGGTGGGAGGGCGTATAGGTGCCTTTTATCTGCTCAAGAAGCGTTGTCTTGCCGGCGTTGTCAAGGCCAAGGAGGAGAACCGAGTACTCTGGGGGCTGTTAGACTCGTCGTGGTGGTCGCAGAAAGACTTGGAAGCACACCTTCCTTGCTTGTCGCGTGAAGATATATCGACTTGAAGAGGTGATACATGTTTTGCGCGACGCGTAAATTGGGCGCGCGCTTCACATGGTAGACGAGTGACGGTTGACTTGCGCGCGCGGTTGATCTACAACGTGTCATTCGCTATCGATAAGGTCTGCGCAACGAATCGCAACAATGACCTCTTCCGCTCGACGCGAATTAAGATAATTGGTAGCATGTGCTGTCTCTATGTATGATCGAAGTCCGCTGTATTTATTGGAACATCCAACGCTTGAGACCATATGTTCTGTCGTCGTCATTGAGGATGCAAAGGTACTTCATTATTCAGGGACGTTGTTCGAGACTTGGGAAACTCTGGACCGCCGTGTGATCTTTCCATCTTCCGCAATATGTGCTGGCTTCTTCACATACCTTACCGATGACTCCAATCCATCGAGACTGTTCTTAGGTGGCTGTTTCCATATATTTTCTCCCCAGATCCTCAATGACACCAATGGAGAACGATACCCAGTCTTCATCTGTCTCTTCCGAAGATTTGCCGCAGCCTGTGTCTTTGTAATAATCCTCCCATCGACGCAAAAGATTGAACATCATCTGACGGTAGTACCCAGCATCTATGCTACGAGAGCTGCCTCTATGGGTGGGGCGAGACAGACCAGAGTTCGATCTGATGGCGAAGTCGGTGTCAGTGATTGTGGTGTCGATGGTATATCGTGAAGTGTTACCGTACTTGTCCACAAGCGATGGATCAGCACCACCTCTGAGCAACACCTTGGTCTTCTGGAAATAGCCGCGTGCATTTGAAGAACCTTGGGCTCGACTTGTGGCATAAAACTAGACTTAGGGCATTGGATACGACCTCGCTCGTACCGTTCGAAGCTAGCAACATAAATATAGGAATGCTTATGGCATCGGAGCTCTCATATGCCATGACCAAGTCTTTCTTCCTAATGTGGCTGCCATGTACCAGGAGAATATCGACACATTATAGTCGTTAACGTCGCTGATCTCCATCCTCAGCCTGACACAATGGGCCTCGGATGGTACGTGCCAAAAGTGTCCTTCCCTTCTCGTTCGGCACATTCAATATACGGAGCAGCCAGGTTTCATCGCTCTCTACGGTGATCAAATACAGTAGTTTTGCGGGAAAGCTTCCACAGATTGCTATGTTGCCGCTGACCGATCTCGTGCACTGCAACCAGTAAAGAATTGAGTGAATTCATGGTAGGGTGCCTTTTCTTTCTCTAATTCCCTCGATACAAGCACAAAACCCGTAAGAACCGAGTCCAAGTGTTCTGGAGTGGATGGGCCTACTTCCGACAGGATATGTTCCCATAGACGGGCTCTCATCCTCGAAGATGACTAACCTAGTGCACACCTTCCAGCACTGAACAACAAATCTTGAGGACGAAAGCCAAATTTCAGTAAGAGCTATAAACACATGGCATCACTCAGTGAAGATTCCATGAAGATTCAGGTCACACCTGGTTATCTTACTGTAGACATTGGATGTTGGCCTTCATCCGAGATTCAACGCATTAGTTACGTCGAAGGTAACTTCCATTTTAGCTCAAAAATCATTTGGCAATTAGGGTCACATTGTGCAACGACTGAAGGATCAAGAATCGGAAGTCTTTTTCTTTGAGGGATTCATGGCTGCTGCCTCGCGGCATGCGCGGTTGCGGGATACCATGCCATTGTTTAGATGTTACAATGTAGCCTTGATTTATCTAGCGAGCGAGCGGAGTAGATGCTAAATGGCAGATGGCGATTAAAGGCGATGCCACCTTGAGGCTGGCACCTGTGCACATGTGCCAGGCCACCTGCATGTGACGCCCAAGCTTGATTAAACTATAACCTAGATGCAATTAGCGTTCTAAGCCACACTTGCGTTGTGCATCCAGATGTCAAAGTTTCCACTTTTCTTTCTTCTTCAACGGAGAAGATACGCGAATATATGTAGCTACCCAGGCGCCTAAACATAGATAATGGCACTGGACAGTGCTTCTCCCTCGTGCCCTATACTAATTTTGTGTGCGTTTTGTGAGGGTGAGGAGTAACCTTGAGTGCGAAGCAGACGGATTGCTTCGTACCTGGATACTCTAGCCACCGCATGACATCACCTCGGCACCGCCACGCTTCGCGTAGTGCCATCGTCCTTCACCAAACAACGTGGAAGGCTCCCGTGGTGTCTTCACGCGTCTATTCTCTTGCCGCGGATGGCGCGAATTACGTGCAGCGCTTGCCGGCGGTTTATCTTATCTGGAGCAAAGTGAGAGGTTCGGCGCTAACTGTCCGAGAGGTGCAGTCGATCGCCGGGAAATCGGACGTCTAGCAAGGTCATCTGCAGCTTGCTCCCACCCACACACTCACACATCAGAGGGGCAGGACCAGCACGGTGATGCGTCTTTCCTCATGCTTAATAGCTGTCATAGTAAGGCGGCAGATTTGTGACCTGTGCAGATAGCCACGCAGTTTGAGCGTTTGAGCTGTGACCACACGAGTTCCCCCGAGACAAGGTTGTGCTACAGATGGTCTGACAGTCTGCCCTTGCACACGTCGAAACATTTGAAGCTCCTTGCACAGCGACACCACCATGGAAGATCGCACGCCCACCGGAGGCAAAGCCAAGGTGTCGCCCGAGACGTCGCGCCGGAGTAGCACATATGGCACGGGCAGCGACACGCCTACACAGAGCGCGTCGGGCACAGATTCGGCGCGCAGACGACCGCAAGCTGCCATGCCACCCTCTGGCTATGGTAAGAGCTACAACTGGAGCGCAAAAACAAACAACATGATGCTGACGCGACTACAGGCTCCATAACATCTGGAATCGAGCGCCGCCAGCAGAACGCGACGACATCCGAAGCCTCCATCAAACCCAAGAAGCCTCCCATGAGCCGTCGCGTCACATCGTCCAAATGGCCGCAGAAGGGCCAAGAGTTCAGTGTTGATGACGCAGAAGAAGAAGTGGAACTGGATCAGGCTCAGCAGGACCAACAAAAGAAACAACGACAGACGCCGTTGCGTCGCAAACCATCGACAGTTCGACGACGAACCGCCGCACCCCCGCCCAATCTAGCCACCATTGACTCGACCGGAGACGACGAAGTCGAGCAGGATAACGCCGGTCCGCCAACGGGCGCTGATGCCGACGCGACACCCTCGTCCAGTGAGGAGACGGTACAGGCAGAAGAGGACGAAAGTGGAGGCGGCGATGACGATGACGACCTGAGCGACGCAGAGAGCTTCACGCTACGCGATCGCCAGGATGCCATCAACGTCACACATCCCTTTGGTATCAGGATCTGGAAGCCCGCGCTCTACAAGAAGGGCCGTTCGGTGCAGCGCAATGCTGAAGAAGACATCCATTCCTCGCCCGGTCTCTACGTCAGTAGATGGTTGCTGCTCTTCAATATCGTATGGACCCTTGTCTTCGGTTGGTGGCTGGCTGTTGTCGCCACGGCTGGCGGTTTGCTATGCGCCCTGCTAGGCTTCGACGAGAGTTGCAAGGAATACTCGCACCTGCTTTTCCACCTTGCTGGATATCTCTTCTACCCTTTCGGCAAGTACGTCAAGCTGATGCAGGATGAGGCTTACATAGAAGAGGACGAAGGTGAGGGTCGCAGTATCAGCGAGTACGAGCAGTGGCAAAGTGGTGACATTGAAGAAGGACGTCTTTTCTTCGGACCTACAACTGGTACGAGCTCTCTAATTGGCCGGAGACGCAACAGCGTTGATTCTACCGGCGGAGAGACGACAAGCTTGCTTGGCAGAGATGGACGTGCCAATGTCGTCCATACTGACACTGCAAACACCAAGAGAAGGCTTTTTGGCCGTGGCAAGTGGAATCTTGGTCGAGTTGTCTTCTTCCTGTTCTTCTACGGTATCCTCACACCCTCGCTTTTCCTTGTCTCAGCCCTGTGCTGGTTCCTCGTCTTCACGATACCCATGGGCAAGACTACACTGCTGCTGTTCGATCATCTGCGACGTCATCCTCTAGCGCTCTCGTTCCATTCTGACAACGGCAACGTGCGCCGTCCTGGAGAATCGTCCTCGATACTTCTCTGTACGTACCGCGCAGTCGGTATCAAGTACTGGAAATACACCATCGACGGAACCAACATCTTCCTTATCAATCTCCTTGGTTTGGTTGCCTTTACCATTTTCGACTACTTCGTCTTAGCTGAGGCCTTGGAAATGAAGTTTTGGCTAACAGACCAGTTTCTGCTTTTCACCCTTGCCCTGTTGTCCATTATTCCACTGGCATACTTCATTGGCCAAGCTGTGGCTTCCATCTCAGCTCAATCCTCGATGGGTGTTGGCGCTACTATCAATGCCTTCTTCTCCACAGTAGTCGAAGTATTCCTCTATTGCGTGGCGCTCAAACAAGGCAAAGCCCAACTTGTGGAAGGAAGTATCATCGGCAGTATCTTTGCTGGTATCCTCTTCTTACCAGGCTTGTCCATGTGCTTTGGTGCTCTCAAGCGCAAGACACAGCGTTTCAACGTACGATCAGCCGGTGTCACCTCTACTATGCTCTTGTTCGCTGTTATCGGTGCCTTTGGGCCAACCCTGTTCTACCAGATCTATGGAAGTGTAAGTCACGCTCCAAGGCCTTGGATTGCTCCGCTAAACTGTATTAGCACGAACTTAATTGTCACCAATGCGTGCACTCTAGCCAACATGTGCCCCGCGAACGAGACTGCCGCAGATGCTACTATTCACAAACACCTGCACTGAACGATCGCTTCTACAATGAAGCCGTAAAGCCTTATACTTGGTTCGCGGCTACTATGCTCTTCTTCTCCTACATCATTGGTCTTCTGTTCACTCTTCGTACTCATGCTGCGACGATCTGGACTGAGCCAGATGCCCAGGAGAAGAAGATACTTGAGATGAGCGCGAGCAGCCTCAGCCAAAGCGGTCATATGGATTTTCCCCATTCTTCGTTTGCTAGGCAAGCGACTGGGCAGTCCGTGTCTCGCGCACACATTCGTGACAGCCAGCTGTACAAGCGTATGGTCAGTCAAACTTTGCAGGAGGTTGGGCTTGGACCAGAACAACACGCTTCGGACGACAGGCGGCCTAGCTCCAAATCAGACAGCCACACCCCGCATATGGTACCGCCTAAAGACAGTGATGCACACTCGCACCACTCTTTCCACGTCGAGGGTCTTACAGATGATGCTGCTCAGTCACTTGCACGACAAATCACAGAGATTGCGGCAACTACAACCGCTCTGGCAACGCGCGATGTTACCAGGGCTCCACGCAAAGCTGCCCAGCTGGCTCATACGCCGAGTAAAACGCACGTTGATCGCCCCGTTCATACAAGAACAAATACTGAGGCTGCACCTGAGGAGGTCGACACAGCCACTGGGCATGCTTCCGGTGGGCATGATGCACCGAACTGGAGCCGACAAAAGAGTGCAGCCATTCTTCTGACAGCCACTTTAGCATATGCCATCATTGCCGAAATCCTTGTCAATACCGTGGATGGCGTCCTGGAGGGTTCCGATATTGACGAGAAATTCCTGGGTATCACGCTGTTCGCGCTTGTACCAAACACCACCGAGTTCCTAAACGCCATCTCTTTTGCTATGAACGGCAACATTGCGCTCTCCATGGAGATTGGTTCTGCTTACGCGCTGCAAGTCTGTCTTCTCCAGATCCCGGCTTTGGTGTTTTATAGTGCTATCCACACGGGCTATATCCCCGCTCAGGACGCTGCCAGCCAGACATTCACGCTCATCTTCCCTCAGTGGGACATGGTGACGGTCATTCTCTGCGTTTTCCTCTTGTCGTATATGTACGGCGAGGGCAAGAGTAACTACTTCAAGGGATCTATTCTCATCCTGTCGTATCTTGTGGTCATTGCCGGTTTCTACCTGTCTGGGTTCAACGACTTCCAAAAGATGGGTGTTGATCCAATGGATACCCTAGCGCTGGGTGGTTTGGTCGAGCAGCAGGTGCAGTCCATGACGTTTAAAACACCTTCAAGGGGTCGCAGTGGTGTGACTTACTAGAAGGCTGCTTCGTCGTGTTCATGTATGCTAGGGAAAGATGATAAAGACGTTAATGAGTATCTGCATTGGACAGAATTTTGCAAATAGGGTATATAGCGCAGGCGAAAGGGGAAAATTGGCACAATGGGTCTAGTTAGTAATGAATTGCATATCACGCGACATCAATGCCAAACCATGTCAGGGCGAAAGCCCGCTTGAAAAGTGAGGTACCACTCAGAAATCAAGTGGTAATGTGTTGATCGACAGGACGGTTGAGCAGAATATCCTCAAACTTTGCGTCTGGGTTAAAATGCCGGTGAAGCTTATAGTCTCTAGGCTACATGCAGTCGGTCCGGAAGCAGTGCTCAGCCATGGGCTGACGACTGCATGGTAATGGCATGCGATGGGTGTGAGAGGTTGAGATGCGCGGAGTGAGGCGGATGTGTCTTACAGGTCACGATGCGACGAGGACAGCAAGTTGCAGCGCATCGTGTGGGGCGATGCGGCGATTTAAAGTGGGCGGGTTGGAGAGACGGTTGCGTGCACCATGGTGCGGCAGCGTCGGAGTGGCAGGTTTTAGTGGGTCACGGGCGTCAGCGGGTAGGTTTGTAAAGATCAATCGATACGCCATGGCAGTCCGCGCTTCTCCGTCGAGGCTTCAATCGACCCTCTTTTGCTATATGTACATCTTCGTCGCTGTTTGGTCTTCGCGCGCGACGTGCTAATGCGGAAACGCGCCATCTGCCACCTCACATAATCGCTTTGGATTCTTCGGGGTCTTTTGGAGGCGAGACAGCTGAAGCCACACCCCGCGCTCGAGATCAAGTCTCCATGGGGCGTCGAACCTGGTGTGCTGGTCATCGATAAGACGGACCTTCAGCTCGTTCGCCGCTGGGTGCGCAATATTCCTACACAATTCGGACCGCATATAGGGCGCTTCTCGAGATGCTGCTCGCGCCACCGCACCGCCTCCCGTGGCAGTTGACGTGCGTCTTGTTCGCAACCGTCTCCGCGGCTACCATCTCGTCCACCAACATTTCTACCACGCGTCCAAATCTATACGATGGCACTTTGCCGCTTGCGGATGCGCAGGGAGACGGAGTTACGATTGCCGACTTGATCCCATTGACCAAGGAAGCCACCAAATCAGTTCGTCAAACAATGCGTGTCGCATAGCTTTTCATGCGCTTACAAGGACTAGGTCAAAGGCAACTTACACAATACAAACTACTCCAGCGCCGCTCGAATCTCCAATGACGAAATCGCATACATCAGCTGCAACACAAACGACTACAACGGCTTCGACACTCCGCAGGGCGTTTTCGAACGAGCTTACACCCAGGCCAATATCTCGGCAGTCATACTGTACAGCACGGCATCAAATTACTGCAATTACACGCAGGACAGCGCGCAAGTAATGATCGAGGAGTTTGCCGTATATTCCATGACAAACCGAGACGACTCTACCAAGGTACTCGGTGCCATCATCGACCTACCGGCGCATATGAAGTACTTTGTTCAGGTCCAAGGGCGAGATGAGGGGAGCGACAACGCTGACAGTACCAATCAATACCAACAAAACCCGCTGGGTCCTTCGCCGTCCACCGCTGTCGCCATGATCATTCTCTACAGTATCACAGGTATCATCACAGCCTTGTTCCTCGTCATCATCATCACTGGCGCCGTGCGTGCGCATCGTCATCCAGAGCGATACGGTCCTCGAAATGTACTCGGACGACCAAGGCAAAGCAGAGCGAGAGGATTGGGGCGAGCTATACTGGACACCATACCTATCGTCAAGTTTGGTGAGAAAGAGCCAGCGAAGCCTGCGGATGTTGAGTTGGGATCGACGGCGGAGACGGGACATGTAAACCGCGCAAATGTAGATACAGAAGTACAAAAGAGCTCACAAACAGCTGCAAACAACCAGGCTGCGACACCGAATCCCACTGCCGGCTTAACAGAGACGGCACAAGCTGCGACACCAAATCTATCAGAGGAACATCAATCGGGTATCGCACCGGCACAGCCTGCTGCTACAGCTGCGATGGCGGGTACAGACAACGCGTCGTTGGACGAGGGTCTGGGATGCTCAATTTGTACTGAAGACTTTGAAAAGGGCCAGGATCTTCGTGTTCTTCCTTGTGATCATAAATTTCACCCAGAATGCGTGGATCCATGGTTACTAAACGTGTCTGGCACATGTCCATTATGGTGTGTTGATCCTCTAACTAACGCGTCTACTATGCTAACCTCAGCTAGCCGGGTTGACCTCCGCCCTGTAACCTCTCACGATTCCTCAGCCTCACAAGACCCAAATGAGCTCGCCCCACCTCTCAACCCCGAAGCCGAATCATCACATCGCCGTCGTACTGCGCTCTTTGACATCCTCTCTCTCCGTCATCGACCGAACGCCTCACCAGAGGAACGAATTGGCGCTTTGCGGCGTCTGAGAGAGCAGCGTAGGAACCAGGGCGGTGATTTTACAGGAGGCAGCGCAAACGCGAGTGTTGAGGAGGTCGCAGGTGCGCGCGATAGGAGAAATAGGCGCATTAGTGTTCGGCTAAGTGATGTATTGACTGGCCGATCGAGAAGAGAGAGACGGGATGAGAGTCCGGCGCAGCAGGAAGTATCACACGGGAGCGAGGCAAACGCTGCGCCTAGTTCGAGTGAGCGAGACGTGTGAGCAGGGAGTGTGACTTGGCCTATGACGGACACGATGTATGTGTAGCTCATGATCTGGATTGGCGTCTGGATTTAGGTTTTTCTTGAGAACTCAAGATTAGTTGTGCATCGTACGGCGTTGCGGGATACCAGATGGTGTTAGTTTACATACAATTCATCCTTTCGTTATTACTCAACCATCTCACATCTTGGAATTCGCTTCATCTTCTAGCGAAGTAGTAACCTTTTAGGAGTGGCATAGCTTTACAAGTTGTGATAGCGTTGCTATTGGCAGCCATGCTATCAGCCTTGAGCGATGTTCTTCTCTCCTATAACGTAGCTTGATGTCGCTAGGCTAGCAGGTAGGGAGATAGGTACACGTGATTAGTATATTCACTACGCAGATAGCTAATAGTACAGGCTAGGCTAAGGATAAAGATGTAGCTCAAGAAGCTTATCGTAGGACACGTTCGCGTAAGAAATTTAATATTACAAAATCTAGGTGTAACACGGGACGGCAGAGGCGGAGCGAGGAGGGCGATTATGGTCCCAGCATGTTTGTTTCTCTCGCTCGCGCCTTAGCCTCTAAACCTGCTTATAACTAGCGCCCTACGCGTTAGGAGATAGGCAAGAATTATTCTTATAACCTCTCTACCTAGTGTAGTAATATAGAGCTTTCCCCTACTATTCTCTTATAGTGTAAAGCAAATACTATTACTTATAACTACCCCTTCTATAATGATTCTTCTCCACTAGGGCTAATAGACTAGAGATAGCTCCTTGTATATAATTAGCTAACTAAGCTAAGGTAGGGAGCTAAAGCTCTAGCCTTTTAAGCTTATTATAAACACTACGTTAAGCACTATTAGAATAAGAGGAGGATGCACTAATAGTGCTTAAGGAGTGTATTATAGCTATTATAAAACAACGTAATAAGTTAATAGCTCTTTAGTAGCTACGCGAACTAGAAAAAGAAGTTATATAACTAGAAGGATATAAATAGGTTACACACCTAGCTAGAGTAAGAGATAACGTCTTTATAGCTTAAGACCTAGCTACGCGTAGGCTAAGTGTAAGGAGTAGTTTTAAGTAATAGTATTTACTTTACACTACAAGAGAATAGTTAGGGAAAGCTCTATATTACTACACTAGGTAGGGAGGTTATAAGAATAATTCTTACTTCTCTCCTAACGCGTAGGGAAATAGTTATAAGTAGGTTTAGTAGCTAAGGCGTAAGTAAGAAAAGTAAACATATTAGGACTATAATCTTTCTCCTTGCTTTGCCTCTACTATCCTACATTATAGAGCCTCCTTCTTTAAGCAAGCGTTCTTAATAATCTTAGCATTAATAAAAACCTAAACCTTAAAGGGAAGAACTAAGAAAAGAGTGTCTAGGTACTATACGCTTAGTAAGCGTAACGCTTACGTTATTAGAGTGCGTTACTATTATAAAATGTGTTACGCTTATTTATTATTAATGCTAACGTGCCCACCGCTAAATGGCGCACACTACTAAAATGGCGCACCTCTACATAAAACTACCTTTGCACATTAATAACACTCCACTACAACATGCAATAAAGGCGTACAATAGCTAGAATTAATCCTCTACTTCTACTGCATCTTTCTTGCATGTGCGCTTGTTATGTCCTGCCTCGCCGCAGTTCTTGCAGCGTCGAATACCTCCTGCACTACCACCTGCGCGCACCCTCTCCTGACGCCTCTCCACCTCTAACTAGATCTCAACATCCCTTTGCTTAACTATATCCTCTACCTCTACCTATAATAGGGTCCCTCCCTTCTAGATTCGCTTTTTCTTACGCTTTTTACGTTTAGATACTGCCTAGTTTGCCTCCTTAAGGTTAGCTATTCTAGCCTTAAGCAACGTGTGTAAGTGCACCTTTAAAGTTAATCCCTTTTTAACCTGCAGCTCTATCTTAATAATAGAATTAGGTAATAATTCCTTGTCATCTGTTATCCTCTTAACAATCAGCGTCGTTTAAGCCTCTATCTCCTAGGCGTTGCTTAGTGTTTTAGGTTACTAAGGGGTAGGCCCTAGTGCAGGTAGTGTTAGCGTACGAGGCTGTACTTTAAGCCTAGATAACACTTTACCTAGGTTATGTGGGACTAAGCCAGTTGCTCGAAAGCTTAATAAGATATTGTTCTTTAAGAACGCCTTGTTAAATATTAGCTTAAAGGCAGCTAGGAAGGCTTTCTTGTTAATGTGGTAGATGTAGCTGTCTGCTAAGCCCCTAAGTTCCTTCTTGTACGCTTGCTTTAGCAGGGCAAAATAACCTACATTAAGTAGCTGTAGGATGTGCGATAAGTGTAGAAGCATGCAGAGAGTGATAATATTGCTTTGCTTACACAGATCCTAGAAAGCGAGTAACTTGTAGCTCTCGTGGCTATTAAGGATAAGCAGGCAGTAACTACCTACTGTTCAAGCTTCTGTATGCTAGATAAAGTGCTGTAACTAGGCTAGACTAAGCTTGTTCGTTGTCTAACCGTTGTTATTAACACCTATCCTCTAATCTTTTAGGTTGTTGTAATACTAGGCCTAGTCGTAGTACTTTGCTTTGAGGATAAGGAATAGTAGAATTGACCACCCTATCGCGTTGATGCTAGCGATTAACGTTACCTACTTACGATTGCTAGGTTGAACTCTAAGTAGCTTAAGGCGTCTCTTAGAGGCTGTTACTACTTTAACAGACCCTCCGATGCCTATCTAGAAGCTAGTCTCATTAAAATTATAGACGTCTTCGTCTAAGATCCTATACTTAGCCTTAACGTTGCGTACAAGATTAAACTAGGGCCTAATAATAGCTAGGTTGCTGCACAGGACTCTCTAGTGATCCCGCTGTCTTGTCACCTAAGATTTAATCTTAGGTCTCCGGCGTACAAGCCTGTAGGCCTAGTTTTCTCTAACCTGGCCACTACTACGTACAGCTAGTAGTTGATTGGCCATCTCTCGTACGTAGCTGAGCGTAGGGGCAAATCCTCGCGCGTTAAGCTTCCTGATAGACTGTATAATCGCCTCCTCTTCATGCCTCTGTAGCTTTGATGCATTGTAGTGAGAATTGTGATCAGAAGCTGGTTTAGCGCGTTGCCTTCGAAGGGTGGTTTCAGGCACGTTGTACACAGCAGCAGCACGTCGCAGGCTTAATGACACGTTGGATCTCATAGCCTGGATAGCAAGGATAATTCTATCTGTCTAGGGACGTGATTTAAGATTAGGTTGTTGTAGCATTGTGGAGATGGTAGAAAGTGGTGTGGTCTTGGCACAGTGCGCTATTTCAGTGGTGTGCGCCATTCAGCGGTGGGCACGTTATATTATATTATAGTAAATGCTAATTTAAGTAAGAGAGAAAAGTAACTTATTTTATTATAGTAATTATAGAATGTTATTTACTTCCTATTTAAGGTAACTAAGCTTTTATAAAGGTAAATATAGATTATTGTTTACTTAATCTATTCTAGTAACTATGTATTTACTGTTATTATAATAGAAAAAACTTCTTATCTTCTCTCTTACTTACTACTACTATAATAATACTTCTCTATTACTTAAGCGCATTTTCCTCGTATAATATACTCTTTCATATAATTTATTACCCTAATCCTAGATATATTTAAAAATTCTACTTACGTAGTGTTTACTTATCCACGTTTAGCGCCTATATAAAGTGCGCTAACTATATTACCTTAGTTATAACTTCTACGCGCTACGCTTAGAATATTACCAAGTAAAAGAAGATACATAAGACGTCTAAGGGTTACTATTATAAGTACTGTGTAGCTAGAAATTAAAGTAGTTATATTTTAGTAAGCAACTAAGATATTTTATAAGTACTACGCCTTAGCTAATCTAAATAGGTGCCTACCAAGACAGTTAGTCGCCTTAATTACTTATACTAGCTTTCTACTTAGTATAATACTACTATTAAGAATACTACTGCCCTTAAGTTCAACGCTAAAGTAATTTCTACTAGCGTTAAGCTTACGCGTTACTAGCCCTAGTTTAATTTAGAGCTTATAAACTATTACTACGTTACTACACATTGTAGGACTCCTATTAAAGTCCCTACTTAAGTTCTTATAACCTTTCTTTAATACTTAAGCTTAATTCTTATTAAGTAGCGTAAGATAGGTACTACTCTTTTTTAGCTTCTTATTTATACTACGAAGATAGTAGACGCTTATATATCTTTTCTTAGCATACTTTTTTAACTAACTTTTCCTTTTAGGGTGCTACTATAAGGGCTAGTATTAATTCTAACTCTAACACTAATAATTCTCTTTTACCTCTAGGTAGTAAGGAGCTAGATAATAGTAGCTAGGGCGTAAGTAGAGTAAATATAGGTAAGAGATGTAGAGAGAATAAGGGCGATAGTAAGTGCTTCTAAATAATACTATGTTGTTGTAAGAGTATAAAAACTGTGTTGTAGTGCTAAGCTACGTCGCTGCGCGTACGCTTCGCTAGTGTTTATAGGCCGCTTAGTAGGGTAGGCCGCTCGCTAGTGAAATAGGTTACTACCTTTACTATTACTGTTACTTATATTATTGCGTCGCTATTATTTCTATCTCTAATTTCTACCTTACACGTACAAGAGTTATACCTAATCTTGCCGCAACGGCCGCAGCGTCGCCCTACGCGCACCCTCTTTGCTAGCTCCTTACTCTCCTTACGACTGCCACCCTCCTTTTTAGCAATTAAGTCTAATACCTCGCTAACTATAAGTGTCTCCTCTGCCTATACGTAGCGTCTCTTCTAACGCTTACGCTTAGTAAGCGTCTCTATTGCGTCTTAAAGGCGCCCTATCTCTACGCGCATTAACACAATTTTATAAGCTATCCACTACGCGCCTTTTATTAGCTGTTGTACCTACTTATTAAGCGAACTTGCTAGAGACCCATAATCGATTTGTATATTATTCTAAATTAGCGTTAATTACGCCTCTATTTCTTTAGCGTTACGTAGTGTTTTTGCTCCCTAACTAGCGTTATCTTACTATAGTAGAGTTT